TCGAATGGGTGGGATTGATTGGATAGGGGGGTCTTTCTAATATCAAACCAATCATTGTCCTACGCCTTATTCTCCTCTTCCGCCAAACAAACTAGCGGACTTCCTTATGTAATAACCCACCAAAGGCTAAAACTGCAGTATGGTGGTAAAAAGATCGAACCCACAAGGACAGAGGCAACACACAGAGTAAAAGTGTCACGTTTAACAGACTTTTGTAGAGTTTGAATTCTAGGCGACTGTCACTCCCAGAAATACTGCAGTGCTCGACTCGGAGGCTCGGCTCGGAGGAGGATCTCGACTCGGAGGATGCTCGGAGGATGCACAGTACAGCGTGGTCACTCAACACACACACACACACACACACACACACATGAAACTGGCAAAAGCACAACTCGGAGGTCGGTCAGGACCTCCGCTTCGGATTTCAGGAGGAAAGTGTCTCAAAAGTTCACTCAGAGGTTCTGCAGGTAGTGACTCCCACTCCGGCTTTTACTGCCCTTCCGCCATGAACTAGCGTAGGGTACCCGGACTGGACTTCCCACTTCGGAACGAAGCCTCTTCATACGCCGTGGACGTCACCCTCGACTCACACCAAACGCAGGGAGTGCAGGCCCAACTGAGAACTTAACTGAGACACAATCCAGTAACACACACACAACCTGAATTGCAAACCAAGGCTTACACGAAGTAATAAAACTTCACTTTGGCATTCAGGGGAAACTTCCCGTAGGAGTACAATCAGGATATGTCACTTGAAGGAGTAAGGGGAAACTGTTCAAGTATCTAACTCGCAGCAGGCTCTGAGCATCAGAAATCATCCGCAGGTGCAGATCCGCACTACTCAAGTCTCTAACCGGGTACTAGCTCTGAACATTCAGCCGAAGGCCTTCAACTACAACATACGGTAACTTCGCTATGCTGCAGCTTCTCTACGTGGTGCCAGGACCAAAATGCACAAACACGCCAAGAAAGTGAGTTCTTGATCTGCACTTCCGAAACTGGAAGAGTCCCAATGCAAAGCGCATTGATCTACTTTATACCCTCAAAGGTCCTAACTAACACTACGCTATGCTATCTACTACTCGCAACATCTGCGCGGAACCAAACTATACTACTGCACTCGGCGGATCCGGTGCTGCGCCTCCTGCGCGCCGGACTGCTCCGCTCGCTGTCTCTACCTTGCCAGTCTTCCGACCGGCTGCGCAACCCCAGGCGTCGGAGGGCTGCAGTCACTTCCGACTCTAAGTGCGCCATAGTGTCGCGCGCACCCGACAAGAAGGTTTCTAATTTCCTCGCTACTCGCCGCCGACTCCGACTGTCACCCTCCGTCAATGCCGCCGCCCGAAGCTCGAACTCCCTGAGTGTGATCCTCTCTTGAGCTGCCACCTCCCAATGGGCGTATCCTTTTAGACAGTGAGTCACCCGCGTCGCCAACTCTTCTCGCGCCCTGCAGCTGCCTTCCACCTCTGCTAGCTGCATTTCCGCTTCCGCACGCTGCGCCCTCAAATCCGAGCACTCGGATTGCAAGTTGCGCAACAACTCCTCATCCTCCTTGCGGGCTCTTTGACTTTCTTCTAAGGCGCGCGTCAGGCGCGCAAGCTCTGTTGCTAGGATGCGGTTTTGTCTCCCCTCTTCCTGCAATTCCGACTCGATCTTTGCCCGCATTAGCTCGGCCTCCGCCTGGCTTTTCGTCGCCGCATCCTCCCTCTGCTGCTGCAAGGCTTGGTATAGCTTCTGTGTGACCGCCAGGTGTTGTCGGAGGGCGGTGTTCCTATCCTGATATACTTGGCACCTAGAGGCCCAAGTGGCCACCTTGCTCCTCGTCCTGCGCTTGACAGTCTCCACATAAGACTGCGGTTTTCCAGTACCCGAGTACTTGGATGTCTTGCGATCGAGATAGCGCAGGAGAGGAACTATCTGCTCGCACAACACCCCTGTTGGTGTTTTCTGCACAGAATCCGCTTCCTGCTCTTCCGAGCTCGTCTCATCCTCAGTTTCGAGGATTTCAGTCGCCACTGAATCCCTTGGCGACTCCCTGGAACTGTGGCGCGCAGCAGCTTCCGCTGCGACTGCCACTCCACTACCTGCTAAAATATCCAAGGCAGTGGGGGATCCCACTGCTTGAGCCCTTGTTCCGGCTCGATCTTCGGTTTCCGAAGGGGTCGACGCCGCAATGACTTCTGTCATCCTTGCACCGCCCGCTTCTGCTGCCTGCCCTTCCGGCGCAATCTGCGCGGAAGGTGTCTTCGCTGAAGGTGCGTCCGCCGAAGGCGTCCGCACACTGGTCGCCGGCCCTGTCCGTCTCGCAGTCGGCGAATCCGGCCGACTCTCTGTTGACCGACTCGCAGTCGGCCGACTAGCAGTTGTCCGACTGGGAGTCGGATACACCCTGCGCGTTTTCACTCCACTTGGCCTGCTTGCTGGTGGCGTTTTCCCAGAAGTGCCTTCCGCCGAAGACGACCCTCTGAGGGTTGTTGGCTCGTCAGCCAAACTCCCTTCTGCTTCTGGCCTGCTGTCCGGTTCAACGCCCCGCTCAGTTGGCCTTCCTTCCGCTTGTCGACCTTCAGTCGCCCGACTCGTAGTCGGCCGACTGTCAGTCCGTCTATCTCCTTCCGAAGGCATTGGTGCCTTCTGCGCAGAGGTATTTGTCGACTTCCCTAGGATCTGAGCGATTATCTCCTCCTGCGTGGGATTCCGCCGGACCGGAGTACGCCCGGTCTCCTCAGTACTAGTTGGCATTTTGCGTGCCCTCTGTTTTGGTCGGCTGTGAGGCTCGTGGGTGGGCCGACCACGAGTCGGCGCAGCTGGCACTTCCGGTTGCCTGTCCTCAGGTCTCTCATCCCACTTCCGCTTTCGCGGAATGCGCTCACTTCGACGTTCTTCTGCTGCTCTTGCTGGGGCCGGAGCCGGAGGCGGACTGGCAGGTTCCTCGTCCGGATCCGTGTCTACTTCGGCCTCCCGTGAGTATCTACCTGGATAGCTCCGTGTCAGCAGCGGAAACCGTGCCCACTCTGAATTTGTCAAACATCCCATCGCCCGATAAAACACAATCAGGTAAGGCGAAAGATGATTGAGGGTTCCTCCTCTCTCCTCTTGTGCATGTTGGCGCGTCACCTTCCACAGGAGCCGTGCCCAATGCACTGGAGCTCCTGACAACACTAGCTTCACAAATCCTACCTGCCAACCATGCATGTAAGCGGTCTTGGTCGGCTGCAATATCTGCAGCAATACAGTCGCGACATTTCTCCGCAATCGATCTTTGTAATCCCGTGTCCGGAAGCCGTTCTTGGGATGTCTGGCAACTTTGAAAAGCTCATTGTAGGAGATTTCTTCCTCCTGGGACACCTTCACGCTATCGGCCTCGAAGAGGAGATACCCTTCCTCGCCGGCACACCTGCCCAACACCTGCGCCCAGTCACAAATGTCCCATCTTTCTGGATGGGGACGGAATCCGCGTGAGGGCTTGTGTCTCTCCTGCAGATATTCGCGCACCATCTCCGGACATGTCCAGTTCCACCCCCACAGGAGGAAATCGAGCTTCAGCCCCAGCAACACATCTTGAAATGCGCGTAGACCGATCTGCGGCACTCTGAGGGGAGACACTCGCAGCTGGGGAACCTTCGACATTGCGTTTCCTGCACACACAAACATTCTCCCTTTCGCTCGCTCTCTCACAATCGCCACTGCGCGTCGGCCGCTCAAGCACTGACTGCTCATTCTCTCTTCGCTCACGCTCAAGTTCGCTACTCGCAATTCTCTCCAAGGTCTGTCAAGATCCTTGCGTAACTCGTCTTCGCACTCTCTCCTCTCACTGCAGGTCTCTCCGCCCTTGCGCGTAATCTTGGAAGCTGGAAATCGCAAAATCAAGAATGAGAGAATGAGACTGGAGCACAGTCTTTTCTTCTCCGAATTCAAGAACGTCCAACGTTCTTACTGGTTACAACGTACGCAGCCGGCTATACGGCCTAACGGTTTGCCCTTGCATGCGCGAATTCACGTCTCCGCACTGCGCGCATTCGCATGCGTGAATGTTGAATTCTCCCGCCGCCGCCGTCTTCCGGACTCGAGTCCGCCGCAGGGTATACGTCGGCTATGTTGTCTTTCCCTAACCCGTCTATCACCGGAGGCGTGTGCCGCTGGCGTGTTTCTTATCCGTCGGCGCTTTGCTAGGGGCGCACATCCAGTCGGCGCGAATTACGCCGGCGCGTATTCGTACCGCTTATTTTGTCCTTTATGCCTCGTCCATTGCTGACGGCGCATATCCCGCCGGCGCAAATCATACCAGCGCAAATCATGCCAGCGCATCCGTCTATCAGCGCCACGTCGGAGGCGTACATCCGGCCGGCGCGTTTCTTCCGTTGCGCAGCCGCCAAAGGCGCTTCCGACTCCGAGTTGATTTCCTCCCATGAGCGCATGATTCCGCCGAAGGCGCATCGCCGAGGGCGTACGGGAGTACTTTCCAGCTGTGAACCCTAGCGCGAACGGCGCATGTCCGGCTACGAGTTTTCCGACGCTCATAACTTCTTCGTCCCTGATCCATCTCCAACGCTCTTGGGCTCGTTAGAACGAGCGTCCCGAGCTCTTTCTAATGCAACTTCAACCAACTGGATCTACCGTGTATTCCGATCGTTATGAAGGTTTCCCTTTCCGCGCTAGCGGCGCATTGCCGAAGGCGCACTCATGGTCGGAAGCCTTCAGAGGTCCGGGCCGTTCTTCTGACGTCTTTAGTAAAATCTCCTCCTGGGGTGTCTGCGCCGGAAGCGTAGCTTCCTTAAACGCTGGAGGTGCGTGAGTAGAGACACCTCAGAAAAGGAGCTTTTGCCGAAGGCGCCAAAGGCATTGGCGTTGGTACATCCGACTACGTGTTTCTTCGTGACCTCGTGACGATCTCCTCAATCCACTCTATTTAACGTACCCTTTTCGAACTACAACCACTGCTTCGGTACTAGTTTTCTAAAATTGTTTAAGTTCTGCAAAAAAACAAAAAGTGTGTTACCACACCTTACTAACCCCGGTTGACAGACTACACTACCATACTTCTTCGGAGAAATCGCTCTCTTCCGAGCACCGTCCACGAATAAGCGCGTAAGAGGATGACTCAATGTTCCGCTCCGCAACGAGAACAACGACAACCCCGTCCGAACTGCAAACAAACCACAGGTCCAGATCTATGTGTCTTCGTACTCCCTACGAATCAATTCGTCTGTTGCCTCTACAGGTCAGGTCACAAACTACGCTCATTCACGATCTTTCCTTCCTTCGTTCTTCCCTATTCGGCCAGATTCACTAAAACCGACTAACCAACCAGATGGTCACAGGTGGTGAATGAAAAATACTCGACTCCAAAATGCTTGCACACGTTCACCCTTCCTCTTCTATTGCAGGCTAGAACAACCCCGACCGTATGCTCGGGGGTCGACGGCATATGATGACCGTCGTGACGGTGTTACCGTTCAGCAGTCTAGAGCTTAACCTGTAGTCAATGCACCCTGGTTATGTGAACACGTGTCGACTATGAGCATCATTCGACTACAATTCAGATTTATTTCAGCCTGGGAGGTTTTGAACATTGTCCTGTGGATTTTGAGTTCACGTCCAAGACTACTCCTGTTCGCTCTTAGTGCACAACGCAGACGGGGCGAGGACGGATCTCTCCCACAACTACCGCAATGTATCGGCGATGAATCTCCTTGCTGCTATGATCCTTGCAGCAGGACTGCTGTCAGCTGTCCACATTGTCCATGCAGCGGATCCTGACCCACTGCAGGATTTCTGCATTGCAGACCTTGCTGCCGGACCAGTTTCAAATGGTTTCGCTTGCAAGTTGCTTGCACTTGCTTCCACAGACGACTTTGCATTTTCTGGGCTTGCTGAAGCTGCGAATCCTAGCGTATCTGCTACCAACGGAACTGCAACCCTCGCCTTCGTCAGACAATGGCCAGCTCTGAACACTCAGGGATTGTCTCTCATAAGACTCGATATCAATCCTTGTGGCATCATCTTTCCTCATACACACAACTTGGCCACTGAGATTCTGTATGTGTTGGAGGGAGAGATGTATACGGGCTTCGTCACCAACAACTTCGGCAACGACCAAACCATATCCAAGCTGTATGCAAAGGTCGTGAAGAAGGGAGAAGCTTTCATTTTTCTCAGAGGTCTGCTACACTTCCAGCTGAACAAGGGGAAGGTGCTTGCATCGAGTCTAAACGTCCTGAACAGTCAGAATCCTGGTATTCAGCTCATGCCTTCAGCTTTGTTCGGAAATGGCATCGAACGTGAAATGCTAGAAAAGTCATTTTTCATGAATGAGACTCAAGTTGCTGCACATAACTCATGTTGGATAACCACATTTATCCTACTCCTGCTGTGGCTTCATCGTCCGTTCGCATCAAAAATTCTGCCCACAGCAGGCCACTTGGGACTTGTTTGTTTGCGATTTCTTTCAGAGAGTGAGCGGGGCAGGCATGCTGTGCTCGTGTGTGAAACTCACTTTTATGGCTACCTGTATTGCTTCTCCTGTTCAAGATTTTCCACCACTGTATTGGTTTGTTTGTTGGCATTTGGGGTGCCAGGTTGGTCAATTAAGCAAGGCAAGGCCCGAAACATTTGGTCTGCTGGAAAAGCACGCACTTTCAGAACACCCTCGGGCTTCTACGTGCACCTACGAATGTATCCATGTATCCACCTGCAAAATTGTGGTCGCCGGCAAGAAGAATTATGCCACTAGACAGAAGGGCTTCGAGCAGCTCCTTCGTGTTTCCCACCGTTGCATGCTTCTGCTGTTTGTCTGTCTTTGTCTATTAGTCTCGCAATCCACCTCCCGAGAGAGATACATATGGACAAAATGCACAAAAAATATGATTGGACTAATAAAAAAAATTCAAAAGACATATTTTGACAACTGATAGTTTACTACATAAATAACACTGTAGATCTCAGCTGTGGACAACTAGCCAAAACATTCATGTTGAAATATTTCAAGTATCATCGAATACCATCACTTCAAACTCATGAAAGTAGAGTGTTGGAATCTAGCTCCAAGCTAAACAACTATCTCTATTATCACCTTTTGAGCCTTTGATTTTCATACAATGCAACTGAGCTTGCTTTAACTTGTTTAGGTAGATATTATTCCTTTAGTCCAAGAATGGGTGCATCATGATTGTTCACCAACAATTTCTTTCTCAAAAATCGGTCTGAAACATATAACCTTTGATACCTAGGCCACCGAGATCTTCCATATTTTTGACTGAAAAATCGTCCGTGCAGAGTCACTGCAATCTGATTTGTAGTATTTGAAAATTCTCCAAGAGTCTAGTGGCTTAAGTTCAAGCATCAGGAAGAATATGATATGCTCACTTGCCAGTAGTGTTTTCCTACTGAAAATAAGGGTTGGCTCTTCCCACTTCTGGTTTAGTATATGTATAAATGTGGAACCAGTTCCAGGATCTTATTCTATTCCAGATCATCAGGCCATATCCTGCAACCAAAAAGTAGAAAACCATGAAATACCTGCTTTTATGAGCATCAAATCATTGGTCCTTATGAGACCTACAGCCTGAGCTTCAGAAAGCAGTGGCCAAAAAGATTATGTCCAGGCATATCAGAATGGAAATCCTTTAAAACCACACAGAACCATGGAAGACGTAGTAAACCTTAAACAGAAAAAAGATCTGACCTCCTCGGATGTACCCATCCTGTTGCGAGAGAAAACACATATTGTTAATGAGTCTCAGAAAATAGTTCCATTTATACAAAAAATTCATCATGGACGGGCCTTGGTAACTAACCACATGAATAGATGTTTTTTCCTGAATTGCTCTTTGGATGGAAGGTGCGAGAACACTGACAACCCTTGACGCTGTCGGAAGCTTCTCCACAACTTCAAGCCACCCACAGTCGTCGTCTGCGTACTGATACCGCATTGAAGACATACCCTTCTCTGTAGCAGTATCCTCATTGACAGCAACGTAGCTTACACCAGGAGACACTTTCTGCATGACTACAGGTAAGCCAGACTAGCTGGAAGAAGAAGCCTGACCTAGAGGCGCATTCGTAAGACCAGTCACATTCTTCGCAGCTCCCGAGACAATATCATTGCTAGAAATGACGAAGAAACTAGAAACACTAGTACAGAAATAAACCGAATGGAAATCATCCATGAATGAAAACCGAAAGAGCAGTATTGTGCTATAAAAAGCATTCAGACATCAGGAAGCAATGTGTTCACAATATATTTAATACAAATTGGCATGTATTCATAAAGATTCATGTGCCAAGATGAAGAAATATGTATAAAATACAAAATTTCAAACTTCTAGACATAGAGATCACGCGAAGTAAACTTTTGAACTTTCCAACTGAAGCACTAGCTTTCTCGCTTGTCAAGTACCTACCAGGTAGTCTTTGGCAAGGAGAAAAACAGTAACAAAAAAATGAAACTTGCCTCTTGTATATGAGTCTATTCACTATATCGGATCATCATTTAGATTGATTATATTTGTGTCAGCTGAAAGCTCTCTACCTAATCGTTTTGGTAGGAAAAATCTACTTGTAGGCAAAGAGATTCTATTCATATCAATTTGTGGTATCCTACTTTTGAGTTTTCCACGCAGTTGAGTGCTTCGCCTGAACAACTCTTCTCTAATTGTCTCTCTTTTTCTTCCTTGAACTTTTGGGATAACATCAGGAAGAAGTATGTTATCACAAATGACATCACTGAACTCTGATATAACATTCTGCAGAGCTGGACTATCATTGGTAATATCTAGATAGCTATCGCTATCACCGTGAACATCTTCAAGAGGCACGTTCAAATCCTGTAAGTTGTCACAAGTGGTTACATATCAGCCGCAATAAAAGAAAAAATGAAAACAAAGACATAACTAATACATACATCTCATTATACTAAAAGAATTTCAATTCAATGCATGTGTAAGTCACTTACCAAAGATTTTCTTGTCTCAATTACACACCGTTTTTTCTTCAAATAGTTCTTCAGAATTGAATGGCTTCTCTTTGCACCATGATACTTGTCAACGATCCTAAGCCTTCTTCTCAATGTCAAGCCACTTGGTCTGATGAACATGTCGGCATTTGTGATTCTGTCCTTTCCCGATTCTAGTTGACATTGTTCCTGAACTCTCAAGTCATGCAAAGATCTATTTATTACAGCAAGTGTGCTGTGTGCTATGCTATCACTTTGTGAAGCCATTTTTTCTATTTGCATCCAAGCTTCTCTTGACTTCTCCACACAAACGTTTCTCTGATTGAACGTTGATTCCAACATAGGATTTTCTTCCGCTTGCAGTTCTGAATCATACTCCACTGACAAATGAGTATTTTCACTTAACAACTGTACATTGGTATTAGAAATCAATCCTTCATATTGCGACCCTGCCCAAGTTCCATGTTGCTGAATGATGGATCCTCCTTGGTGCCCTTTGCACATCAAAGCCTTGCATTTATGTTTGCAAATATTTCCTTTCACAGCCCACGAACAGTCACATGAAGGCAGCATGGAATAACAATCTCAAACTGTGTACTTAGTTTTAAATTTTGGACATATCACCTCGGCAAAGTTTGGCTTTAAGGGGTCTGGAAACGCCACCTGAATACAACATATATAACTTTTCATAAGTTATAATCAAAATGCAAGTTATGCATAGTCATAGCTCGGGTATTGCAAGCAAAAATGAGTAAACACAAATGCAAAATCAGAAATATTTTCACCTGAGCATATTTCATTTCGTTTTCTGCTGCTCATACACTGGAGATAGCAACCTCTTCCTTTCTCCAATTCACTACCAATCACATTGCCTTTCTACGAATATTATAAAGAAAGAATGGCAACATGCTTCCAAAAAGCATGTCTAACAATCTGTCCAATCGACGAGCTTTTAAACCAGCTATCATTCGTTGAATCATCTTTTTCATGGTCAAATGCCAAGCTTCTGTTGCACCATTTGTCAGTTGGTTCGCGTGATCAAAATTTTGACAAATCACCAACCATTTATCTGTGAAGACAACACACAAGGCATGTAAGATATCATCATTGCTATGAAAATCATCCATGTCTGTGAACTACATGTTCAGAACCATCATCCAAAAATATGAGTAAACTTTTACTTCACAAGACCTATCTAATACAGTTCAACACTTCTTCCAATAATATAAGTTTAGTACTTGTACTAAATGCAATGAGTTAAACCAAGTTTTTATGAGCCTTCCAACTGTAATGAACAGCTGTTTACTTACACTACAGGCTAGATACACTATGAGAGCAATACAAGAGAATTACCATAGAGTTACAGTACCTATTCTTCCGATCCATTCTTGTTTGAAGTAGCTTAGAAACTCAATTTCTGAAGAAAATCTAGTTTGGAATTTCATCCAACGTCCCCACATCAAAAGTTCACTGTTAGCATACATCATTTCTCCCAAAGCATCAGACATTTTCAATATAAGCGTTCGGTTTTTCACTTTTTGAATAAGATTTTCCTTCCATGCCCTGCAAACAGTTCCAACATGGTCAAAGGTTTTAATACGGATTGTAAATATCTATAGAATACTCTAAGTGTGACAATCATCAACATACACAGATTATATTGGCATTTTTTTTATACATAATCTGTGCATAAATCACTACTATAAATGGACAGAATTTCAAAAGTACCTTCGAATATGAAATGTATAGAAAATCACAGGAACTCCTGGAAATACAGCTTTCAAAGCAGCCACCTCTTGAGGAGCACAATCAATTATAAAGCAACTTGGTTTCCAGTCAGGCTTCAATTTTAATGCTGCATCTTTGATTTTTTGCAAAAAGTCCACTATCATCTGTGTTGTTTCCATTTGTTGAATACTCCAAGCAACAGGTAATCTCATTTGATGGCTATCAAATGCAATCAATGTAAAAAAAGGAAACTGCATGATAACAACACATAACATATAATTAGTTATGTGCAGCATGGATAAATGCATTACTTAGTCCATAACAAGCAAACTCTTGTATCACAAAAGTTGATGGAACAAGTGATCAGTTAGAGTCTTCAAAACGCTTGACCTTCTTTCTCTTCTTGCTTGGCTTCTAGAGAATACTTGAACGTGAGTGAGCACTTGTGACTCACTAGTACAATTTATTCCAACAATTACTATACTGTACAATGCATAAGACTAAACCGTGTGCAGACCTACATTCAAAACTCTGCCCAAAAATGTACAAACAAGTAACATGTCTCAGGAAGACATGGAAGAGAGGGTTCCGAGACAGCAGTCTAGGAAGTGAAGGATACGAGATGGGAAATATGAACTAGTAATTCCTATCTTGAAACCAAATGGAACTCGACTGTGCACAAGAAATAAAGCTGCTAAAATATATCCGTTTGGGGTCCAACTTGAAAATCAATGTCAACATTACCTTCTAACATATCAGAGTTGAACATTGTACTTAATTCAGGCATGTTATTTTTTCTTCAAGCATTTTGCTTATTAGCCTTCAGTTTTAGTGTACTTTAACTGCAATTCTAAACTGATTAATATTCTAGAGAAAAAGTGAAACCAAATGCACCTTGACTGTGCAGAATTAGTTGGAGGAGAAAAATGACAAAAGCTAGTCAAACTAAAGATCTAAGTATAAGTTGTCATGTTACCATCTTGTGGTACCCCACTTTTGGTAATTTTGAGGAAATTAAAACATTTTTGGAAAACTGTACCAAGGCAGCAATGTAAATAGCCTTCGGTGCGTCAAAATAGAGTGAATTCGGAAGATCGCAGATATTCTCGAGGTACCTCGTAGAATCTAGGAGTTGGGTGCAGCGTCAAGGAAGGGCACCACCCTCCCTACGAGCTCTGAAGGTATGATCCCTTCGGCGCAAGGCGCAAAATCCGCCTTTGGCACTGCGCCCTCGGCGGTAGGGAAATCCTTCATATTTAGGTCAACCTCCAAACGCCTCAACCTGGTTAGGGTCACGTTGAAAAAAACTCGACGCGCTGATTCCAACGAGCCCAAGAACGCCAACAACGGATGAGAACTCCGGGAGTTATGAAGGTTGTAAGATACTCAGCTTTCCGCCTGCGCACAGGCGAAGAAGTTTTGTCCTATGCGCGGACGAAGGAAGTTCGCCAGCGCAAAGGCGAAATAGGGTTTTGATGTAGGCGCGAAGTTCGCCTACGCACAAGCGTCCGCCTGTGCACAGGCGCTTTGGCGTCGGCGGGAAATCCGCCTTCGGCCCTAGAAATGCGCCTTCGGAGATAGAAATTGTACGGCGCCTTCTGCGCCAGCGCAACGGCACAAACGAGCAAGGAGCCGCCAAAATAGTAAAATCCGTACTGACCGTACGGACTGTACAGACGGGACGGATGGATGCTCTCGTGGTCGGGCGGAGTTGCGGCGGCGAGCGCGCCGACGGAGAGACAAGGAACGGACAGTCTGGGGGGGGGCTGTTGACCGCGGTCAACGCCTTCCGCGCCAGCGCATCGACGCGGACGGACTTCGCCTACGCACAGGCGAGCGCCTGCGCACAGGCGAGCGCCTGCGCACAGGCGGGTGAAGTTCCGCGCCGGCGGAGAATCCGCCGAGGAGTCCGCCTGCGCACAGGCTGGAGTTGAACTTTTGTCCGACGTGCGGACAAGCGCCGGGGCAGAGGAGGATTGGCTGAGGAGCGGTACGAACGAGTGTACCGCGCAAGGCGGAAAATCCGCCTTCGTCGCTGCGCACCCATGTCCGCGGCGTAGTACGCTCGCGGAGTTCAAATTCGCCAATTCGAGCGTGTGAGTTAAATCGGCGTCGGCGGAGCGTGAAGCCGCGCGTGAGAGCGGAGACCGTTTTAGCGTAGAGCCGGCGCGGCCATCAATTGAGTCGACCTTCACGAGCAAGAGCCGACCATGACCTTCGACCGAGAGACGGAGAGCGTTCCATTCTTGAATTCGCGATTCCATTTTCTAGTGCGAGGTGCGCGCGTCCATCTGCTAGCTGCTAAGCATTCCCGACATCGCCGCGCAGAGGATTACTTGATGATTGAGAGAGAAGTGAGTGCGCGTGATTTGGAATTGAGTGAGATTAGAGTTTGCCGAGGAAGCAAGGAGCTCGAGCGGGGCGGAGGGAGAATTAGCGAACAGACGAACTCCAAGAACGCAATGTCGAGACTGAACCGATTGCGGATGCTGCCGCTCCGACTTCCACAGAACGGGCTGCGCACTTACGAGGAGCGGCTGATAGCAAAAAAGCTCAATTTCTTGCTATGGGGATGGAACTACATCTGTGTGGATATGGTGCGCGAGTGGCTAGAGCCACAAGGACCACCTACGCGCGGATTGCGGCCGCATGTCGATCAGTGGACGGTCCAAGATTGGGCGCAGGCATTGTGGAGGTGTGCCGGCATCCCAGGGCACCTCCTCTTTGATAGTGAGAGCGTCAAGGTGTCTAAGCAGGACGAGGCGCAATTTGTGGAGCTGTTCAAGCGGGAGAGGTCTACCAAGAATGGGTACAAGACCCGCGATTACAAGGATCGCTTCCGCCGAACTGTGGCTACGGCGCTGCTGCAATTACTGCAGCCACACCGCGCCTGCTACATCACATTGTGGCAGGTCTCTTTTGTGGAGTGCATCATCGAGGGAGCTCCAATTCACTGGGCGAGCATCCTGCACAGAGTGATGCGACAGCACGCTTTTGAGGAGAAGGGGGGAACTCTAAATCATCTCTCTCCTTTCCTAATCAATTTTTATCGGCAGCAAAATTGTTTGACCGCGGCGGAGCTTGCTCGTTTTCCGCCGTTGTCCGTCGACCATCCCGGGAGGTATGTGCGGGAGACCGAGGTCGACACTGATGCAGAGGAGTCGCCGACTTCTACTCCGTCAAGGCGGAGGGACGAAGGAAGAAACACTACCCGCAGCTTCGCCGAGTGCACTCGTGAGAGCCTTTCCCCCTGAAATCTTGAGTAGAGGTCCTAACGGATCTCTGGGTTGTGTTTCTGTAGTTTCAGGTGTGTGTGTGTGTGTGTGTGTGTTACGCTGCACTGTGCGACCTCCGAGTGCGCTCCGAGTGGACACTTGCAGTATTTCTGGGAGTGACAGTCGCCTTAGAATTCAAACTCCTCAATAGTCTGTTAAACGTGACACTTTGTACCCTGTGTGTTCCTCTATCCCTGTGGGTTCGACCTTTCTACCACTATATTGCAGTTTTAGCCTTTAGTGGGTTATTACACATCTGTTAAATAGGGATTACTTCAAACAATTGATTACATTTCCGGGCGATTTTTTGTATTCTCCTACAAACAAGCAGTTTCATCCTGCTTGTCTCATGATGCAAAATCATGCATACAGTGCATGTACTACGTGCAGGTATCTTCTGCGATATGCACATAGAGAGGATGTGCCATCGTTCTCTGTATCTGTATAGTGAGTACTTGAGACCCGAATAGAGTACTTGGATTCTTGCAGTCAAGCATGTTCTTTTGGAGATACAATGCTATACTTGCCACTATCCTTTCCCCAAGATCTGATATCATTTTGAAGAAATCTATGAGGTCCAAGTCTTCAAATCCGAAAGGAAGTAGAAGACCTACAAAGAACACCGGATAGTAACCAAACTTCTGCATAAATAACTTGCAAGTTTACTTCCTGTCATATTCATCGATATAACTCATCAGACCTACGTCAGGTAGTTTCAACAGAAAAGAAAACTACTTTTGTTTTTTTTTCCCTATGTGTTCTCTACCAATGAAAAAATTTTAAGTTAGAGCATATATACTAGACCATGTTCAAGAAAAAAAAACACAGAAAGAAAAAAGTTAGATTCGGAGGAGAAAAAATGGCACATACCTCACATAAAGCATACACCCATCAGATAAATCTGAATTGAAATGGCAAAAGTCAAAGTGATCCACATGCAGTCTATGTACCACAAAATGACGCTGATCTATTGGAGTTCAATCCAATTGAAATAATGACAATCAATACCAGATCAATTTAAACAAATCTTTCACCACACAATGTCATATTCATAAATCAACAACTCAAAATACAACCGAAAGAAAACTTACATCATACTTGGTTGTCGCAAACGTGCTGTCCAACGCAAGAGGCTTATTTTGAGATTAGGGAATCATCATACCCAACTGCCATTTGGATTGAAGAACCAACATGAAATCTTGGGACGGATTTGCAGAGATATACTGTTGATGTAGAAGCACAAAATGCGGATGCGCATTAATCCAAATCTTCACAGACTGCTAATCGTTTTCATGAAACATATAAGTTTCTCTTGCTACCTTCGCTTTTATATTGTGCAAATCTTTCAAATGTATTGTGTCATCTTTAGCTCCTCTTATGGACCATGGAAGAGGTGCAGGATCATTAAAAGGACAGTCTGGACCTCCTACTTGAATCTGTTGTTTCAAATGCATGTCAAAAACTTGTGGAATTGTCCAAACCCATCTGAAAAGTTGCTCTATGTTTTGTCTGAGCTCGTTCGTAATTTGTGGAGCATATGCACACTTTGGACTCCAAGGAACAACTTCATTTTCTGCAATTCCTCCGTGACACCTTTCCCCTTTATCATTACAATGAGTCCTGCAAGACAAATGAAAACATCAAGTTAATATTAATCCATATTTATGAAATAACATCATCACCATGATAACGTATACATCAAGAAGTATGTTGAGTAGAACTTGTACAAACTTGTACTTGTAATGATTTTTGTTTCTCATTATACCTGTAATATAACTCCTCATACACCCTTCGAGCAACTACTTCCTCTTCTTAGATAGTGAACAATATTCTGTAACAGACACTGTTAAAGTACACAATTTAAGTACAAATTTTGTGAGCAAGACATAAACCGAAGTGGAACATTGTGGAGCATTGTGGAACATCCCTTCTGCTAGCATATACCAGTAGTCGGCTATAGTTGAAACATCTGACGCAGGAATTTTGCAGCTGATAGTCATTGCAGACTAATTTCAACGAAGGATATTAAGAAACTCAGTTAATAGCTCATATTTAGGGTGCAACATTCCGAGTACTCGCAAGGACCTTCCTATCTGGTATACACGTAGAAACATTACAACCTTGTCTAGATATCATGAAGAACTTCACTCAAGGCGAACGAACGACAATCCGTGAAACCTTGCGCAGATAAGGTTTCCAGAAGAAATGCTCACTACCTAATCCAAAGAATGAAAGCTTAACGGTTTTTAAGGCAGAACGCAGATACTTACCCCACCAGCTTCTGCTTCTGCAAAACATGAGAATCGGGGTTCATCGTGAGGAGGTACAGGAAGAAGGGGAATCTCCCTGGGAGGGCCTTCTGTAACGGGATTACGCTTGTGTTCGAAGTGAGTTTTGATAAGATTGACAACAGCCTGCAAAGGGCTCAAAACATATCCAATTTGAAACCAGCGAATTAGGCATCCCTCTGAAAACTCTCCGAAAACTCTCCTTTGGCTAACTTTCCAGGCTTTACTGGCTACAGAAGCAAGAAAAATGTGCAAATGATGGTCAGTACTGGAGATTATAACAGGTCTTACATTGGTGTCTGGAAAGTCACCGACAGCAACAATGGCCATGTGGTTCAGTCGACACCACCGTTGATAAAATTCTTGAACGGTTTTGGCCGATACGTTTCTGACGACACTTTCCAATCCAATTGGCTGACGATCGGCATACTGAAAGCACAAACCATACGAACAAACAATACTTCAAAGACTAGAAAACAGTGGACATCCGTTGCTACTGAGAAGCAAACCGGTAACATGGTCATGCGCATAGTACTAAAGCTAACTTCCGTATCACATTTCTAAATGAGGCAGAATCAAGGCAAAAAATTTAGCATGTAGAGAGAGTTCGTACCTGAGATCCTTTCATCATCAACAACCAATGCGCTTCTTGCATTCGCCCCAAGGCATTGCGACCAATGCGTAGTTCCTCAAGAACAGCTCCTCTTTCCTTTTCTAGATCTTCTTCAGAATCACGAATCTGGCAGAGTCAAAACTTCAGGTCAATACTCACTTCGAAAGGTGACAAAATGCAGCTCAGAGAGAGAAATGAATGATTCAAAGGGAAATATATCAACTGGTAATAGGAGGAAGCTTGAGATGAGAAGCTCACTTCTGTAGAGAACTCGGCGAGAATAGATATGGCCTGGGATAGCAATTCAGGTTTATCGATTAGAACAAATAGGTCATAGATTGTCTCATTGGTTTATAACATAGAGTATACTTGAAGGTTTGAGATAATAAAGAATATGAAGGTGCCTGTATAAAAAATTCCAGAAGTTCGGTTTGCGGTCGGCTTGCGGTCGTTCCTCATCACACGGCCCTGAAAGCCTCGTTCCAGAAATCTGTGCAGTCAACTCAGCAGCACAAAAGGGTCAGACGAGATGCCAAGTACAACTGTACATCTTTCGGTCGGTCCGTAAATTGTGACAATCAATTGATTCAGGTTGATTCCTGATCGAAAGTCCGTGCTCGAACGCTTCACCTGCTGCAACGCAGCGGAACGCAAATCAGATCTGCGCACCCTAAACTGATCTGATTTGCGTTGAACAGCAGTGCCACAAGTTTCAATACTTTCGTGCTACTGCAGCTTACAGGTTGCCAATGAATAAAAATGAGCAATGAAATCAGATAAAAGGCATTACAGGATGAACTTTGTCCGAGAGATTGTTGCAAAACAGAATAGGCTGATTGAATTTCTCAAAAAACTGTGCCACAAAAAATTCCAGAAGTTCGGTTTGCGGTCGGCTCGCGGTCGTTCCTCATCACACGGCCCTGAAAGACTCGTTCCAGAAATCCGTGCAGTCTACACAGCAGCACAAAGGGTCAGACGAGATGCCAAGTACAACTGTACATCTCTCAGCCGGTCCGTAAATTGTGACAATCAATTGATTCACGTTGATTCCTGATCGGAAGTCCGTGCTCGAACGCTTCACCTGCTGCAACACAACGCAACCCAAATCAGATTTGCGCACCCTAAACTGATCTGCTTCGTGTGAAACTCGCACATTCTGTCTGAACGCGCGAAATGCTAAACCCTTACGAAATGCTAAACCCTGGGTTACGGTGACGGTGAAACTTGGGTGACGGTGACAGTGATCCGCAAACGGTGTACCCTTGCCGTCCGCACGAATGGCATACGGTCGGGGTTGATCTAGCTAGAAGTCCTCTTCTCTTCTCCCTCTGCTTTTCAGTGTTCCCCACAAACACTGTCCTCCGCATATTCCAGTCTTCAATCAAGTTGTCTATCGGAGAAATGTTTCTAGCCGAGGTCTAATTCTACACTAAAACTTTGATGTTCTGAAAGTTTTACCGGAGGGATATGACTTTCTGTGCATTTAAAAATGCTTCAACTAAGCCCATTTGATTCTAGGACGGTACATTGCACAGGCCTCGATTTCAGGGTCCAAAAGACAAATCCCAAAGATTTTTATTGCTCAGAACCTAAATCCGTGAGATTGAGGTCAAGTCTAGACTCCTTCCTTCCAAAGCGAAAGTACTTCGTATCGTGCACACAATCCCAATCCGCTGTCCGACTCTTAATGCTCACTCGAACCGTAGGTCGATGATCTCCAACTGTCTTTTAGAAAAATTGCCATTGCTTCCACAGAGGATATGTCTTCGGCACCCACCAAACTCAGGTCCCAAAATTGACGCCGCACGAGAACAAAAACATCAAAATATCCCCCAATTCTTAACGTTGAATAAACACCCGCCGTTGCGAAATCTTCTTTCTCAATAGCAAATCCGAGAATCTTCTTTCCACCAAATTCTTGATTCAAAACTCTGATTCCCTCATACACTCAACAACTGAAACCTGTATAACGACTTCTGAAGAATTCTGCTACTCCAAAACTCCGTGAGTTCTTCGAGTGAAATATACGTGAGATCCCCCACTGGAATTCCCGTCGGTCGTTTACCCTACTGGCAAAACCGTCACCGTCACAAACATAGTCAAGCCCAACCCACTCCACACTCGGAAACTCCAGGTCTGACGCTCACGGGCACTACCTCCAACGCGCTAGGCTCGACTTGAAGAATTGACGTTCTTCGAGCCGTCTCCGACCTATACCCTACGACCTGAAACCCTAGGCTCGACACTATTTTTAGCAAAACTAAAAACTACATGACATATGATTCATGGAAATTTGAAACTTCAAGACATGGATCAATGCTGAGATTGTTAGGGTTTATTATCATGCCCTGAGCTAACTATGGTTAGGTTTATATATATCGCTTGTTAGGATTTAATTCATGCCTTGAGCTAACTATGGTTAGGTTTAAATGGATCGCTTGTTAGTATTTAATCCAAACCTTGAACTAACTAGGGCTAGGTTTGTATAGATTGTTGTAGTTAGGATATATACTACCATAAGAGGAGATTCATCTAAATTCATTTTGGAACTTTTTGCTCATTTGCACAAGAACACTCTAAGAGAAAGAGCTTGTACTTACATTGGCTATGGAGATGTAGTAAAGCCTCTTGATGTTACTTTCCGCTCGTACATAGGGATCCACGGTTCTTCTGACAGTGTTGTTGCAACGCTTTTTCCTTGGAACCAATACTTTAGAATTATATTTTTTAATCTTGAATTTGGAGAAGGATTTGTTGTAAAGCATTTATCACACTTTGAAGTAAAAAATCATGCAAGCAAAAATTAATATAGTTTAGGGAGCAATTGCAGAACTGATAAATCATTAACAATTTTTTTAAAGCATAAAATCATTTATTCCCGCTAACTAACCATTTCTGATACGTCTAAATGAAGTTAACTTGGATAATTCAAGCGACGGCCTATAAGCATGCCAGAATATGCTGAATAAATATTCAGCATATGTGGCTGACTGAGAAACATGTTTTTTTGGAAGTGTATCATATAAGTACACGAAAAAACATATAATCTTTTTTTTTTTTTTAAAGAAAATTTTATGGATCTCCATCCTAATCTGCATCCTTACTGTCTAAAATGACATCTATTGACTTTGTATACGACAAAAAAGCCATATAGTGCATTCCTCAATCTCCACTGTCATAGATCTGCATGTATTTGACATCCTTCTACATCAAGTGGTAGATTTGATGCGTGTACACTATCAAAGACACGAGAATATCCAACAGTCACTTGCACATCATAATTTTTGTTTGTTACATCTGTTGAATGAAGGTCAACAGAAAGCTTATCAAGAGTAGCTGAAAGCATACTCGCGGTCTTTGCATATGCCTAATGTAACTCGCCAAAGACCTGATTTCCATATTACTTTTACATCAATCGGAGATCTATGAAATATTCATCCCCATGAATAAATGGTAAATGGTCAGGGATGGAGTCATCCCTTAGAGATAGCTGACGTCTTATTTATCAAGGCGGAAAGATCATCGCTTTGAAGTCTCCAACACACGTCACACATATTAAATCTGCAGTTGACCAAGCCATGCATAACAAGGTTGTAAAGGAATATTTTGGTTCACATGGCTGACTGCAAGAAGGTAACAATGGCTTGCCTTCACTATATCTTATACCAGAATTTCCTGGTGCCAAACTTGCTATCACATACACAATGGATCAGCTCATTTACACTAGGATGAAAAGATAAGGTTGAAACAGTGAGGGCTTCATGTGCACTTATTAAAGACTTGGCGATAACCGTAATCTAAATTAAAATGAAAAATAGATAGTGACTGCGGATTGAGCAAAGATTGAGCACAGCCGTCAACAGATAACGTGGCAGGGTCTTCGATATCAAATCCAAGATCCCAATGAATGCCTGCACATTTGTATGTAACCGTAAGAGCGGAGATTGTGCAGATTTCGGTGGATATTCTTAATCAAGTCCTAAAGTGAAACTATTCGGGGTTTACTCGACTCGTTGCTCTTTTGCTGTTCCTGCAAGTGCGAGTAATATTTTCAGGGCTGGAGGGCAGTTTTTCATCGGGACACATGAAATCTCATTCTCATGATCTGCCTCCATTCACTGGTCGTTCATCATCTCTGCACAGCCCATAGAGCATAAGCACATTTTTCACGAGACTGGAGTCCAGATGAAATTCACTAAAAATCCGTTTCACATGAAGTTCACTATTTCAGTGAAATAGTGAACTTCATGTGAAACGGATTTTTAGTGAATGATACAGTGAAATAATTTCACTGTATCATCCATTTCACATGAAATTTAAAGAATCTCCCGATTGTGAGACAAGTTTTTGTTTTTCCATTCTGGAGAACACGATAAGAAATAATAAACTTTGCACTTCTCGCTGTTAAGAGTTAGAAGGCTTGATTTCTGACTATCAATCGAAACGTGTAACTTGCAGATCATTTATGGGAGCTGAAGAAGAGGTGCGGAACTTATGAGTGAAGAAATCTACACATCCCCTTGAAGGATTCACACGAATCTACTGCTCCATTGGCTACATTCCTGGCCAGCCTACATCTTGTCTGATCAGCTCGTGATGTCATGCCATTAATTTCACAATATCCATAGAATGGAGCTTTATATAACCCACGCTTACCTGGAATTTCCACCCAAACGGCCCACCCCAGAAGCTGCTTGCAAGCCTCAGATTTTACATCGTAGCCCTGTTGCAGATGATTGACACGGCAACCTCTGGACCGCAGACAACTAATGTAAATCGCAAGCCTTGTGGGTCAAGAATCCTCGATGTTCACTCGATGCACAAACAGCATCAGAATGCGAGTTGAACACAGGATTAAGTAACCTCACGCTCGCGCTCGCCATTGATTCGTATGTTCACGCCAAATCGTGACGGATCTAGTACTGATACGGGCAGCTCCAGAAGAGTCCAGCAGATGTTAGTGCATTCTGGATTAGAGGGGGCTTCGAGATGGACCCTCAGAAGAATGCACGGTCACTGAGGAACTCCTGTTTATTCCAGACCCTTCTTTTTTACCTCTTCACGGCTAATTGATTGCATTTATGCCGAAAACTTTGTACGAGTCGAAGCAGAGGAAATCAATTAGAGGAGTGAACCCACGATATATGAGGATACCATTAAAATATTAAAAAAATATATAAGTGAAATGATTACAAAAATTAAAATTTAATCCGTTCCAGAATATATATATATATATTATATTATATTTACATACTTATATTTTCTAGATATCCTTATGTACATTTCAGAGAATTCCTTCACTTGGTATACTAACAAAATACATGTGTTGGTTGATATTCTTAGCTGTGTGAAAGACATTATTGTATTGTATGGAAGATTAATATATACATAACATTTTCCACTACGCATCCACAGGCTTATGTAGTTTAGACATTCTAAAAATAAATGACTAATCTCATATTTAGGAGAGGTCTAATCTCAAAAGTGCCCGGTATATTTAGTTCACTGGCTCACAATGTCAAATTAGCAAATGGTATCAGAAAGTTAGAGTCATTCGAGCGCAATTGCACCGTTTTCAACAGTTCAATATTTCGGATCAACAGTAATACGACTTTCAAATTTCAGTAAAGAAATGTTGAGACACTAGTGTCATGGTCGTTGCATGCAGATTTTGTATCTCGATCAAATGTAAACTTGACGAGAAACTTCCCAAATCCACCACTAACAAGATGTTTGGTACTACATTACGTCCCAAGAATTATCTCATTCATCTCAAGAGCGAATACCCACCCCATAAGAAAGTAGTAAGGAATCTCAAAAGAAAATAACGTAGTTTACTTTGTCCTAAAAGTGCCATTTGTGTACACGATTGTGTCACATCTCAAGAGAGATACAGACCATTTGAATTACACCATCGTTGATACTCTGAGAAATGTTACGGGATCCCGAACATGTTGAAAATCAAACTTTCGTCGAGTTCATACTTAGAGATGTTATGTTATCTCGAATATGTTGAAGGTCAAACCTTCGAGAACACATGCGTGTGTTTATGCTAGATACTGATTGACATGGGTAACTATTATGTGACAATAAAGCCCCCGATGCCATACCACCTCCAAAGATTAGTATTAAATTAGGACGGATTTCACTCTCCGGAAGACTGTGTTGTATCTTCAAGCGACCAAAGAGTTTGCAATGGTCTTAAAGGTCGATAGATTGAATGATTTGAAGATCTTTGCATTTGTACACGTCAACTGCAGTGACAATTTCTCATGGTGCACTGGTAGTATACTCCACATGGTGTGGGTTTTGTCAATCTCGTGGATTTTTGGGTTTTATTGCGATGTGAAATGAACTCGGCTCTACTCGATCTCCTCCACCATTGAACCCTTTTAAACCAATGAAAATTAAAGGTCATGATACAAACTGTTAAATGATATTGTAGTTCATCTCTCGTTGATATAAATGCTCACTTGCACTTCCAGTCAACGAGAATCTCTATCGTGTACACAGTGCGTTTGGGCGAGCCGTTCCAAGGTGAACACTTAAATGACGCCAATCCAGTGGTTTCGAAGGCTGTATGTCCTGGTTTGAATGAAAACCAGACTAGTCAGATCTCGTGGGAATTACATTGATAAAGTTTTAGCCTTTCCTTGGAGACACCTATTGGTAGACATGCTTTACGTATTCCTGGCATTCATGATTGTACCATAATTGACAATTGGACCAAGTAATTCTAAGATTCTTATCAAACCCACGTGTGCGATTCTGATTCTCCCCCAAACTTTTTTTATAGAAATTCACTTCTAAACTATTAACTTCACTTTTCGCGATTTATCACCTCAGCGTATTATCTACTTTCAGCAATTTCTTCTCTCAAACAATTCCGCAAAATTTACAGCACATGGCGCCACAGCAGATTGTGCATCTGCTGTAAAGTTGAAATGGTGAAGAAAAAATTCAATGACTTATGCAAGGAATATAATAGTTGCAGCTTCATAACCACTGAGGTGGAACCGGAAAGATGAAGGCGGGGACAGTATGCAGATGCCATAGACAAGGTCCACATCTGAAACTTAGAATCATGCAATTTCAAACCAAAAGTGCGCAACTTATCATCAGGGCATTTCAACCACCACCAGTAGCTACAATTCAGAATATTTAACGCACGAGAACGAGATATACGATAGATAATAAATTCAAAATTCCGTTCATTGTGTGCTGCCTGGGTCTAAAGAGAACCTCCGGCATTCCTGTAAGGGTGAAAGTGACCATGGAAAGCTGTGGCAGTTTTCCAGCTTTAGAGAATAAGAATGCCCTAATGCACCGCACTTTCAATTGTCTAAGCACTGTACTGACTATTTGTCTGCAAAAGTTAGTCCTTAGCAAGGCCTGGACCCGTGATATGACACCGCAATTTCATGCACAGAGACGTATCGGCACATTCCACCAGGAGGGAGAACAACTGTAAATATCTTAGGAAAATAGCTTCGATAGACAGATACCTCCGAGGAAGAACGCTACAAGCCTGGCAAGTACATGCACATGAATCAATCTACAACAATAAGAACCCCAATCAACAGCACGAGTATCACCTTCGAATAGTCCTGGTCACTGACAAGTTCACTGTACTCCCGGTTAAACGATAGTCATGTCAAGCAGTAGGCCCCTGTAGCTCGACGGCAAAACTTTTGTGCGTTGATAATCTGATCTCGATGATTTCAGGTTAACGAGCTACAATGTGCTAGACTTTGATGACTCACTAAACTACAATGGCACAACCTAACTAGTAGCTGCAACTGCAAGTGTTGACAACCCTGATGTTGTAGCATCCGCAAGTCTCTCGTGTTCCTTGTTCAGCATCTGCACAACAACTCACTCAACTGTTAAGTGAAAGTTCGCCACATTCAACAGAAACATCCAGTTGCCATCTAATCAAACAGCAGAGGTCTTGGCCAAAGGAATAATACCTTATTGTTGATAAGATTGTGAAGAGCGACAACACTGCGGATAAGTGACGACAGGTATATGACAAGCATCATGTCGTTGGTTTTCACTGCACAATGCAGAGATTCAATTATTGACTGCCATGTAATTACTCCATGTTCTGAGGTGGCTCAATTACACGTCACGTACTTGACTACTGATCAGCACACCACATCCTCGCTGAGGAAGGAATTCAGAGAAAAACAGACCAACACAAAAGGAAATCATGTGAGATTCTCACCGGCAAAGGACTTGACTAGCTCGTGCACGTTCAAATTGGGCAGAAGATTAAAGACGTCCTGCACAACCGACCGACCAACCGACCATATGAGGAATCGCTGCGTCAAAAACCCAGGTGCATAGCATAACTGCATAAACTCGCACCACAAACCCAGACAAATTTGCCCTTCTTGTGTATAATACCTGCAAATGATATAATATCTCATGATTGACAGGAAGTTTGCCTTCCACTACGTGGTCCAGATAAGACTGAATCTCCTTCAGTCGGGCCTCCAGGCCCTTTAATGCTACTAATTTTCCTCCAACCTGCACGATGAGAGAAATGTTACTATTTGTTTCCTATAAATGGCAACAAAGCCTTCATATAACACGTACATAGAGAAATAAAACGTGGGAAGGTCACTAAAGGATAAATCAACTTGCACTGTGCTGTGCGAAAGCAGAACTTCACCTCTGTCGCAAGTGTGCTCACAGTTGCGTCCTTGACATCTCTCAATAGATGTTCAACACCTGTAGCAGCAATTCAATACCGTAAGAAAGACACAGGTGAGCACTTTAAAGAAAAGGTGCCCTCGTGCATCTGCTGATATACGTAAACAAACGACACAAAGTCCAGGAGTTGAATGTGGTCTAAAATCAAGACATTATTCACTTCATTCAGACTCAACCTACCAATCTCCTCAGCTTCATAAGCCCCAATCTCGGACGCGGCGTGAACAAACACCTTCTGACTTTTTTGAGTTGCGTCCTAAGACCCAAAAATAGAACCCGTCATTAGAGACCTCCAAAGTCAAATCTGGAGAACTGGTAATATTAACATGTCTCGAGCTGTCAATGGAGATGCACAAGGTAGAAAAGGACAGCGAAGGATTGAAGCTCCAACATGACAACTTAATAGACGATATAAAACAAATATATAGAATGCTTCCAAACTAATTGGAGCTCTAAAAGCTGTGGTAAGTGCATTTAGTCATCTGCTCGAAAACCAAACGACAATCAGCAAATATCAGGTTTCGTTACGTTACATCAAAATGGGTTTTGTGTATGACAGTTTTAAGACGAACATATCTTCCACAATGAGCAACTCCAAAATGCTGTAGCCTTACTACAGGTTTTGGTAGATTGTCATATCCAAGTATATAACACAGTGTTGGCATGCTTACCTCCTTAACTTCCTCCACAGCGTAGTAGGCTTTGGTTGGTATACCCAACTCCTTGGGCTGGACATCAATGATGACAAGTACCGGGTTGGGAGCATAGCTGCAGGCGTTGCCGCAATCGATTTTAGCTCATGAAGCATACTGCAATTCTATTCTTAGAAAAAAATGTATTAAAGAATCAAAACTCAAATACATACTTCAATAGGTGCTTGGGTAGCTTACTCTCTAAAAAGTTCATGGATATCAAGGTCGTTTTCCCTAAGCTTGGGCCCTGTGCTGTACCAGCCTACCACGTGCTCCTTGGCTGTGACAGAAACGAACAAACAGACGCTTGATCAATTGTGGTGATCTTTCCCAGGAAATATTCTAGAACAGGGAACGCAACCCAAAATCCCAACAACAGATGCCCACATGCATTGGATACAATATATGCCCACAAATTCCTGAAAAGAATACTCGGTAACGAACCATTGATTCTTTTGAACATGTCGAACATTGCCTCATGGTAGTTGTGGTCCAAAAACCAGATGCTAGGAGATTTCTCATCTTCCTCAAACGGAACTGTTTCACACCCAGCAAAAATTGCACGTAGGAGATCAGTCCAATTCGATGAGTTCAACACGTACAACAAGGAGAGTAAGAGAGAAAACATACGATTGGCAAAATTCCTTCAAAATTACAATTAGAACCACAATAGTTTTCAAGCTTTGTGCGGGTCTGGGATTTTTTTCCAAGCTATTGTACACCTTACGACAGTCACTGCTAGCAAAGTCGCAAACATGTCTCAGGTTTCAGCTTGCAAGGCACGGTGCATATCGGACCGTGGCTTCGAGAACCATAGGGCTGGAAAGAACCATTAACTGCTATACTCACTTATCTTGCGGACCCGACGATGCCAGCGACGACATTCCAATCCAACGAAATACCTAATTTCTTTCCAACAGCTGAAATTCAGCACACCAAGCACTACTCACCGGCATAAGAGTTCGTAATATCGACACGACCTCGGTGCACGGCACCAAGAAGAACACCAATGACGCGCTTGCTAGAGTCCTTTGCACAGCGAGTATAATTATCGACGATACTCAGCAGCACCAAGGGGTGCACCACTACCTTCTCTATGGCACCTGCTGCCCCTTGACTCGTCGTCACCACATCCATCCTCTCGTCTGGTGGTCCGATCAGACGCTCCACGCGATGATCGATATCGTCCTCCCTCGATGCAACGTCGGGTTGCAAATGAGAGACAGCGAGTGACTCTGCCTCTGGTTCGCTTTCAACGTCCCAAGACCACTCTCGATCGGTCCCGTCAATACGTCGAGCGATCACTCAGTTTGTCATTTACCACCAGCCTCCGGGCTCGCATTTGTTTCTGCTGCCGCTGCTGCCGGACGAGGGAGAAGTGCTCGGAGCTAAACTCGTCGTCCCCTCGAAGATTACGGTCGCTGCTCGCTCGATACGGTTTTGGTCAGGCCGGAGCACCGGCAGCTTAAAATTCTTTGGTCGCGTCAGGCGCCTGTTCCGGCACCACCAGCCGCGGCAGCAGAAAGCGAAAGAGGACGAGGGGCACGGGTCCGAAGGTACAGTTTCTCCTGGCTCGAACACGGAGGGAGCGAGAGTGGGCACTGGGCAGCAGACGAAAGGACGAGTCTCCAGCTCAGTGCCACGCATTTCTTCTAGCTTCCGATTCCGCTCCTCAACGTTCTCTCTTGCCTTCTGCCCGCCCACCTTGAGCTTGCTTCTCTTCGTCCCTTTCAATATTATTTTTTTTATTCATCACGCCAACATCTCCGTCTTTGAGGCTTTCCAAAGGTGCCACCCTTGCCAAGGGAGAGGCAGATACACACGCTTTGGCTAAAACACGTTTGAAGACTTCATGATGCTTTTACTTCGGAAGGGGTCGGTTTTTATGATGACCCAATTTCCAAATGTTTTGGCTTTCAAATATGGCAAACGCTGGTTTGGTGATATTATTCGATGGATTTAAACAAAGTCTTGGACGAAGACATTACCCTTATCTATATTATCATCATGAGGGTGTATACAGGTCTTTTGCAAAGTACATAAGGCATTTTTGTCAGCTTTTGGCAATATATAATATCTGGCCAGAAGCATTAAACAAATTCTCTATCGATTCCTTAAATCTCATCTTTAGATTCAATATATATCTACGGACTACAACTCTCTAGTACTTTACGGAGTTCCGTGATTTGTGACTTCATCGTATGCCCAACTGCTGTAGAAATGGAGCAGAGATAATTGGGAATGGGCTGTATACACAGCAGCCACGGAGCTTTTCTACATCACCTCATGTACCACTCATCCCTATGCTGGAACATTTCAATGCAGCGAATTTCTTAAATGTTCGTGTAAATATAAGTGTGAGTTTGAGTTTACTTTTTCAAAAAAATTCTTGATTTTCCAAGAAGTTAACGCTTTAAGATGGTTTATTACTTTAGCAATGTGAAAAGGTGTTCTTCATCGTTGAATTATCCAAGAGTAAATATCTTCTTTTTTTCAAGAATAAAGAACATGATTTTAAATCCTGTTGATGATTAAACTATGGAAATATCTATGATACATACAAATTTTACTTTTAAAATTTATTAAATGAGTTGAATCATAGTAGTTTAGATAATTTATATGAATTATGATACAAAAATATGCATATAAATTTTTCTTCAAATTTTGTATTGATCATTACAGTGTGATTTTATTAACTTTTTTATTGAACTCAATATTAAAATTGCTGATTAATTGCTAAATAAAGCATTGATTTTGCAATAAATCAATATTTTTTTCCAATATTTGTCAGTATTGATCAAAATATACTTTGATATAGTCAATATATAAAAAGCATGTTTCGTTCAGCAAGCTTGTTTTTATTTAACACATATATGCTTTTACTGATCTTATAATTTGTGTCCAAAAAAACTTCTGCAAATACAGCTAGTAAAGTCAAACTAATTAAGTCAATCAAGACCTGTACTGACTATTTGTAAAATATACATAAAAATAATCTCAAGAATAAAATCAAATAATATAATCATAAGTATCATATTTTTATATCAACAATATTCAGATTAAATAATTTATTTGAGATGCAAAAATCAGATTTTTTTAGAATTACTTAATTAAAAAAAGTTATACAAATTAAAAATATATTTTTAATATGACTATAATAATAATATGAAATTATATAAAATATAAGTAGACTTATTTTTGAACAAAACATGTATTGCACATATAATCAAATTTCATAATTTCTTAGCATAGAAAAAAAAACGTTTCATGAAATACTTTCTTTAATTTTAGTATCTGAATTTAATTTTCGATCGTATTTAAGAAAAATTTTCATATGAAATCGAACGTTAAGATTTTAAATAAACTTAGATATGCATTGTACATCAATCTAGTATAAAAATTAATTGTGCAAATTCAACTGGTGAATGAATAATTTATCATAAAATGTTATTTATAACTAAAAATTTTGACTCAATCATTTATTGTTATTACTCTTGCATAATTTAACGGTGATTATAATAGCACTATAAACTTTTTTCAAATAACAATATAAAAATATTCAGTTGATGATTTAAATATCCAATTTGAATCCATTGTTGATACTGTTTGAAATAAAAACTAAATTGTTTTAAGCTATATTGGCATATTCAAAGTTTTGTATGTTTTACTTGTTAATATTCTAGAAATTTAATCAATTATGATATATTTTATTTTTCAAGTTTGTAAAATTATTTAAAAGGAATATAAAATTAGAATTATTATAATACAAAATTAAATTAAATATTATTTTTTATTGTGTTATGTCTTAAATATAAATAAAAACATCTGTCATTTTAAACATGTATGTGTGTTGAATTTGAATTTGAAGATTTTCATGTTAAGTTAATTTTTGCAATCCAACAGAAAACAATACATATAATGAAAAGCAAAATAAAAGTATAGTTATTTTCTATCAATTCATTTAGCAAACTCAATGGATAATAATTATTAAAATAGTTTCAAAATGATCTTTCTAGTTTTCATATATCAATATACCTTTTTTATTAAAAATTATTTTACTTTCATAAAAAAATCGATTTTTTTGGAAAAAATCAACGGTTTGTTTTTGAATACTCACAATAATTACATATATAATTGGTCATGTTTGTATATATATACATACATATATAGGATGATAATTATAAATAGATGTATCTTTTAAGATACATGGTATGTTTTTCACTATATACATGACAACTAAAATTTCGCAATCTTTTTTAGATTGTGAAGTTTAAGTTCTCCACAATTCCAAATTTAGTTGTCTAAAATTCACATGTTATTTTAGTAAGTTATACACAAGCTTAAATAAATAATGATCAAAGTCTATATCAAGTGTAATCATTATATTGATAAAAATAATCTGTTTCAATGAATTATAATTTTTTTTGCAGAATCTGCATGGTTTAAGTTAACAAATTCTTTTTTAAGTGGATGTTAAATTAATGTTTTTGCCACATCTCACATTACATAATTTGTAGATATGAGTGAATAAATACACACATCTTTTGATTCGTGCTTAATATTATACATGTGAGTCATAGACATTGTGACCAATAGTTATGATATATACATTTTTGAAATATCAAAGTTTTCCTGCATATAAAACATCAAATTGTAAAAGAATTGATTTCAAATCATTACTATAATAAATTAAGTTACAAGCATTTAAATTTTATTATTTATAATAATAGTAATATTTTTACAAAAATATATATGAGATTAGGCTGTACATGTATTCAAACTTGGATTGATTGAATTAACATGTTAATCATATATATTTCACATCTGCGCTATCTACGACTTAAAGGAAATCTATTGAAATTTCCATTAACTATATCTCTTATAGGGCTCAAAAAAAAGATTAATGGGTTTGCATTGTTCATACACATTTAGAGTGGAAGAATTTAATATATTAAAAATATGAAAAATAAAATCAATCGTCAAGTAGTATACTTTCATGTGGTTAGCGGTGGCGGCCGGCACTGAGCAAAGCTGCAAAGAAACCTCAGAAACCTCAGGCTTGTGGCTGCATTGCATTACTCCGCCATACAAAGGAACTACCGGGCCCCGCCTAATGTAACATCACTCTCAACAGGAAGAACGGGACAAAACGAATGGGAAATCTGAACCCAAAAGGCGAGAAATGTGACAGGAGTAGAAAGGAAATTACAGATTTCGGATGGAAGATCCACCCACGGTGCTATCACTACCAATCATAGCACCCGTTTCCACGCCGAGTACATGGTTCAAACTGGAAAAGATTTTGAAATGGCGAACAGCCTTCGAAGAACGAATCGAGCTACCTCTGGCCCTGGGAGGGTCGGATTTTACTCCCTCGGTTCCCCATAATGGTCTCGAGGTTCTTGTAGTTTTCACGATTCGGTCCTCCTTTTTTCAATTCGTGGAGATGCTCAAAGCGAGGATAACTTCTGGATTCCAGACTCCGGTTGAATGGCCTCGACATGCATCCAGGGATTTCTCACTTCAAGTACAGCTTTCAGCCCTTCAAGATTCCGTGTTTCCGCATATTGTCTATACTTGCTACAAATGTGGTGCAATTCCTTCGCTGTCAATCAGTGGTGCACGCTTTACCCTTGGAACTACACCCAGGACGCTGCTTGCTGTACAGTTCGTTAGTGCAAAATCTTTTGCTCGTGCTTTTTCTGAACGTTCTCGGAGAACAAGTATTTATTTACATGCAAACGTTATTGCCGCTGTTATATTAAATTTCTCTCTTATGTAAAATTCCTATTCATTTAATTCTTGGAAGAAATTCGTTCAGTAGTATCTACAAGGTCGAGCATTAATATCAACACCGGGACTTGGAGGAGGTACGAGAGCACGCTCGAGCGGGGCCTCCACTTTGTTACTTTTCAGCTCGAGTAGTCAGGTTGGCAAGTCTTGGCTTGCTGAAGCGTTACCTTTTCATTGAATGGTTACTTTGATGGTTACGCACAACCCTCTTGACTCAGTGTTGATTTTCTTAAACTTCCCTCGTGTGTAGAACCTGCCAAGTGGTGCAATCGAGTCAGGGGCGAGAAGAAAGAAAAGAGCTGTGCATTGCTTCTCTTCCGTCAATGAGGTAAACTTCTTTTGGCATCTAGACTGCGAAAAGGTAGTTTCAGATGATTGAAGTGAAAGCTCCGTTGACAGTACCTGAGGAATGTGCTGTGAAAGTAATACTAGGAAGATTTGTCCTTGTTTTGAAGATTCCACCAGGCTTAGCTTTTCGGTAGTTCGTATAGAAATCTCCGCAGGAATTCAGTTCTACTTGAATTTATCGCCAGTATGTATGTTGAAGATATATCAGTTCAGTATGCAATTTCTGCCCACTTGCACCGATTATCATGGATCTGCACGTCGTTCTCATCAGCATTTGACGTCAGGCCGAAGAGCTTCCTACAGATGAACACACAAATGGGCCGATGGAGGTTACTGATACACATTATGAGGAAGAGAAACCTGCTGCACTTCCCATATCCATGACCACCCACATGCCAGACTCTGAAAAGGAGGAGCTACTAACAAGGTGCGGTATCCTAATTTTTTTATCATGAATAAAGCTCGTCAGAACGAAGTACGCTTAAGTGTCGTTCTTGTGTAGATGGTTCCTAAATTTCGCTCATTCGTAATTATATATAGAGTCAACACATTTTATGAATGCTTTGAGCATCTACTTAAAGTTAGGGTATGTACCTGATTAAGTCAAGCAAAGGTCGTATGGCGGTTTACGTTTTAGTGGATCCTTTCCTGGACCGGTATGACTACTGGGAGTCCATATTCTGATTATTATAAACGATTATAATGGGAATTCTGATTATTCACTTTATAAATGTTCAGTTTTTAGCTTTTGAGCAATTGCTGTCTTGCCTTTTTCTGACTTTGCTGACAACCCAAAGCTGCTGTAGTTTTAGACAATTTCTGCCATCTCCATGTGGCGTTCATGTCTAGCTGTATTGTCTTATAATGTTCACGGATCATACATTTCCTTCTTGTTAACATTTTCTTGCTATGTAAGTAGCAGACATGCAGCATGGATGGTAGCTGGGTACTTCGTACTCGCAGTTGGGGCCCTTCTTTTCGTGGACTCTTATCTGTCGAGCAATTCAAGAACGACCCGTGGCCTGTATTATCTCACTCTACCATTCCTGTTCTCTGCCACCATAGCTACTATCATGGGCTATATTTTCGTTCCCATACTGAGAACAATAAAAGCTTCTCAAATTCTCCGCAAGGAGGGACCAACGACACATTTTGTCAAATGTGGCACTCCAACCATGGGTGGACTGTTTTTCATCCCAGTGGGTGTAATTGTCGCTGGACTCTTCAACCGTGCCTCGTCCGTGGAAGTGTATGGAGTGATGACGATGACACTGGTTTACGCTGGAATTGGGCTGCTGGATGATGGTCTGTCTCTCTTCCGGAAACACAACTATGGGCTTCCGGGGAAGGTCAAATTCACTTTGCAGGTGATTCTTTTTACCCCTATTAATCGCTACTTAATCCTGATCATCATCTGCATCAGTATTCGTCTGAAAGCAAATATGCTACTCTCCCTCCTAAGATCCTCACATGTGGCTTGTTGCCAGGTTGTCGCCGGAATCATGTTTTTCTTTTGGCTTGAGTCAGCTAACGTTTCGTCTCCTTACAAAATGTGGGCCTCTTTCTAGTCACACCTTTACTGGGAAAGGTGCATGAGCTCTGGTCTGCATTATTTGTTGCAAATTAGCCATTAAAGTTAGTGACCGGTTTAGGGCCATTGTCATATTTCACGTTCAGTGCTAGAATGAGATCAATGGTAGACTAGGATGTTCAGCAGTTGTCCGTTGGTGTATTTCGTCAAGAATACTTTCAGAATTTAACCCCTTCTTAGAATAGGATATTTTTATCGCCCATCAATTTCCAAACTCAATACAGTCGTCCAAACTTCGAATACTTTTCAAGAAGGATTGGCGGAATTTTGCTTCTTTCATCTGAAACATCACAGTACTTACTCTGGCAATGTGTTTTGTATCTGCAGAACTAATACACTTCCACTACCAGCTCCCGTTGGCCTTCTGTATGTTGGAAAATGGTATATGGCCTTAACATCATTCTGCTGTACTGCCATGAGCAATGGTGTTAATCTTACTGACGGCTTGGATGGTCTTGCTGGAGGAACTGTTGCTGTTGCTTTCATCGGGATGGCCGTTGCGGTGCTTCACTGCAATCCATGTAAGCTTAGACTTGACTCATTAATATGTATTGCTTTATACTTATTCGTGGAGGGATAGATGAATCGTGAATTATACCAAAAATATGTTATGTGTATCCAGGATACTAAGTTGGTGTGAAAGTTTTAACTTTTAACACCGGATTTATACTCCAGAACTTAGGACCGAGCAGAGTGTTTAAGAGCTGCTTCTAAAAAGTTTCGTGTACAAGTTTAGACCTTGATATCCGAGTTTCAAGAAAATTGAACTTATTATGTGTTGCCTGTCGTTGCCTGAAGATCATAGACCCAGCGCCATAGTATTTAAAGTGAAGAAGTGGAAGTAAGATGAGATGGAAGACTGAGGATCATCTCTATGATATAGTATACTTTCTTCCCCTTAAAGGAGATTCTTTCGGAGCTTTTAGATACAAAAAAGAAACCTACAAACTACAAACTACATCACTGGGTGTGAACCTGTAAACCAATTATATCGATAAAGCTTTGGATCGGTCATAACTGTCGAGCCATACCTAGATGCTGTCTTCATATGCCAGTCAGGTGCTAATGCTTTCACACTGGTCTTCATCCTCACTTAACTAAGGGACGGTTCATTGTGAGTAAATCTCGCCTTTGATTATTAAGAGTTCCATGGGCTCATATTCAAACAATTCTCATCCCATTCCTACTCTTACTTACTCACTTATGAAATAACTTTGCTTTTTTACTTACAAAGTTAGACGTAGTTGTGCTACTGCCTTGGCAGGCTTCTACAGAAGCTAAATATTCAGCTCGTAGAAACCCTAAGCAAATCAGAAAAGGAGAAGGAGCATGTGTAAATTCCTACAAGGAATAAGGTGCAATGAAAGAAGCGACCGACTTACGGAATACTACTTTTGTTCCCTGCGCAGGTCTGGGAGCGTTTGGATCATCAATGGCAGGAGCCTGTTTTGGTTTCTTAGTTCATAACAGGTACAAAGCAACCGTGTTCATGGGAGATACGGGATCCTTGGCCTTAGGCGGAGGACTAGCTGCTATGGCAGCATGTTCAGGGATGTTCTTCCCACTTTTCATCGCATCAGGGGTGTTTGTCATTGAGACCGTCTCGGTTATGGGTCAGGTACATTCCTCTTGTGTACAGAAAAGCCTGACTGTTGTTCGGATACGTATCGCTGTAGGATCTGACATCTTTGCACGTTTACTTTGGATGGGAAAGTGATATTGATATCGATATAAAAAGCCAAAGAAATCTAAACCTGAAATTCTAAACTAGGAGCTATCTACTCATGAAACCATGTCTACATTCTGTCAAGCCACTTTCGTGATGGTATACTAAATTCATGCAGTGGACTAAATAAACTCTCAATGACTACTACTTTTTCCCTCCCTGCAATAGCCTCACTTATTGAGTCGTTCTCCTCTTTTATAATCTGGATATACGTGTCATCACCTTCTTTTTCATACATGCTGGTCATTAGGTATCTTAACAGCCGCTTGTGTGGTTTTTTTTCAAAGGTCTTCTACTTCCAGTTGACAAAACGAATGTACGGACAAGGTCGCCGCTGGCTTCGCATGGCACCTTTTCATCATCATCTGGAGCTCTCGGGTATGAAAGAAACTAGTATAACAAAGGTGGCCTATGCCGTGGGTATGATATTGTCCATCCTTGCTGCATGCACGGGGCTTCTGATATCTTGAGATGTTTGTTCGGAACTCTCTGCTCAATCTGTCAAAGGATTGTCTTCTGTCTCTGCGGTGCCGTGTGCGCGAGAACCCAACTAGATAATCCAAGTATCTTCTCAGCAAGCAAGAAGATCATGAAGACAGTCTACTTGTGCACCTAAGACCATTACACGGTCTGAAAGCCCATTTATGTCAATACATTTTGTAATAACAGGCTATAAGAAATATTCACGAGCGTTCAAGGGCAACAAACTAAATCCATCGTATATAGTTTTCTCTGAAATGTCACCACCCAGCATCTTCTACAAACGGTCCCTTTGTTTCAGTTCACATGTGTAGAAGATGGAACCACGTAGGGAACTCAAGATCCTTGAGAAGCATTGGTCTAGATGTTTGTAGACAAGGAAGGCGCGTGAAACTAATTACTTGGAGAAGACGACGGGAACATCAACAAGCATTCTGTATACAAGTCAGATCATTACAGCTCAACTCTCCCACAGAAATTCGTTTTGAGTCAGGGAAGACAATCGTGTACATTACGAGCTTGAATTATGATTATACTTTGAAGTTAATAGCAGATTAATTGTCTTCAACGGAATTGCCAAACGGACGTTTGTATTTTCGATCATTGAGTTACAATAGTACTGACAGTAAAAAATCAGAGTTTTTCTCAAATGAGAGCTCCAAAGGTAACAGAGAAAATTATTTTATGGGAACCCTGCAGACAACACTAATCATTTTATCCGATGGTACCTGGAGCCGTCACCTGCGAGTCCTTGTAGCTGCTCCGCTTGAGGTCCTGCATCCAAGCCTTTTCATATAGGAACAACGAGGCAACTGAAGATGTTAGAGGTGGTATTAGCAAGTTTCATGCGCTGGTTTCATGAAACATTGCAACAGGGTACTAGGGAGGTACTGCGGTAAATTGGAATTATCAACTTTTCACGTATCAATGTCATTTTGCTAACGTTCCAGATTAAGACTATTGTTCACATTATGATATTACACACTTCACAGTATTACACGTTTACTACACTGATCATTTTAGATTAGAACTAATTTTTTTATCCACTTAAAATTTTTAGTTTTTATATATTCTTTCATAATGAAATAAGTTTTAACGAGTTTTCAAGTAATTTAGATCAATTTTGAGATGTGATTATTAAAAAATAAAATATATATTTAGAAAATTTTGTAGATCTAAAATTTAAATTTTTGAGAAGAGGAGATTAAAGTTAGCTTAAAATTTAATACTATTCTCTTTTATTTTCTCTGTAGTTTCTCAAATCTTGTATGATGGAGATAATTACTTGATAATACCCATGATAAACTCAAATTACTTATGGGATCCAACAAGTTTCATTTTACACTATGGACCCCACTCGAAGACCATGCAACTCACTGTCACCTATGTTACAATAAAAGTTTTTTTAACCTGATAATTTTTGGTTTAGTGTGGAAAGTATCTGCCATTATTGGGCCAAAATACTCTTTTCTGTGAGAATAATTTGACGACTCCTTAGCAGGGTGTCTCAGAAAGCTACAAACTCTCTCGATAGTATCTTGCCGTAACTTCATCCAAAAATCCCCAGGAGATTCCGACCCAAAATAATACTATCAGGTTAAATGAAACCTGTTGGATCTCATCAAGTTTGTTGAGTTTACTTGGGAGTCCATCAAATATTTTCCTCCTTATGATTGGATATTTGCGAAATTAATCTACATCAAACTAACGCGGGATGTCTACGTATTTAGGTTACACTATACCGGAAATGAACTCACATAAATATCCACATATCCGCTATTACTCCACATAAACAAGTTTTTTTCAAATACCATATCAAGAATGTACCACCCAAGTAAATTAATTTAGTTAAAACATATAAAATAAAAAGCATGTGAACATAACTTGATCTATATAACCAATATAGAAGTTCAATTTTAGAAAAATTTTGCTGCAATATTTATGACATGAAATGTATAGTGTCAATCCATATGAATGTATACCATTTTTCTGTCCAATGAAAATTGATATTTGCAATTTTCTGGAGGTTTCACTTGATTTTGAAGACTTGATTTATACAGGTCAGAATTTTGATGTTGCAAGTAGTATGCATGACTTTTTTACTTATTCAAAGAAAAAAACTAAATATATAATCGAAGTAAAAAATATATATGATTCATCACTTTGCGCTATATGTACGAAAATACAAAAAATTCTACTTATAACAAATCTAAGTTGTGAAATCAAAATCTTAGATCATATAGTAAGAAATAAACTAGATCAACATATCAAATTTACCAAAAATTTTATTAACGCCTAATGAGCTTACTCTCTATTGATGTTTTGAAATTTGCAAACTTCTATAATCAATATGATCATTCTAAGTATAGTCGTAGAAGTAAATTAGATAGAATTATCTCTACAAATTAAAACTCATAAGAATTAAGCTTCAAGCATCATATAATAGTTTCACATTATATATTATTTTCAAATTATAAATTAAAATATTTAATTAAAATATTTAAAATTATTTAAAGTGGCAAAAATAATAAAATTTTATTAATTAATAATTAATATCAATATATTATTTATTGAATGTATTTTTATTATGACTACTTTAAATTTTTTACAAGAATATAATTATCAATAGTATGATGTATAATATAAATGATATTTGCCTTGTTATTCATCACTTGATTTATTGCAAATTGTGTAAGTTGAGAACAATATATATCGTGTATCATTGATATGCATGTAGAGAGAAAGAGAGAGAGAGAGAGAGATATTAAAAAAAATTGTGATTTTGTAGATATGAGGATGCATGGACAAAATCTGATATTTCAATGTCCGATATCTCCAAGGTGTTTAATTTTCATTTTTGTTTTATGAAAAAATATCATTTTATAGATCTACTTTGTGATATATTGAGATTTAGATTTTATGACTAGAATGATTGAGTCAAAGGTGTCATTTTTCAATTTTTAGATAGAGAAAAATTGTATTTAGATTTGTACCATTTACATTTTCAACTAAATGTTTGATGTTTAGAATTTTTAATCAATTTTTCCAATTTGAATTAACTAATATGTAGAGATCAGTATTATATTTTGGCAGAAGAGAGAGTGGAAATTTTTTTATGTGACAAATAATAATAAATTGTTTTATGAATGCTTTATAATGAACTCTATCTTTTGTATTTATTTTGTTGAGAGAGTGGATTGTTATCATATTTTCACTGTATTAGAATGAGAGAAAACGTGAGTATTTGTAACTTGATATGGATGAGGTTCTACATGCTATCATGATTGAGATTAAAGAGTTGAAAAAAAACAATAGTAGATGGACATACAAAGTAACTAGTCATGAAAAATACATTTTTTGGTTTGGAGAGTGAGAAGGTGGAGATAAAACAAGTTGAAGAGATGAATGTTAAAACTTCAGTAGCTGATATTCAAATTCTATCGAAATTGAATCTTATTGACACTAAGATATAAGATAAATTCAAGAGTACAAAGATCAAATCAATCTCTTATTTTAGATGAGAAAGTCATGTAAGGTGAAAGCATACGAGGAAAGTAGAGCAATGAAGACTTCAGAAAAAAGTACTATCAATATGAATATATATTTGTTCCATATTTTTGATTTTATTGAAGTAATGTTCATGATGTTTTATTTTATGAACATGACATGAAAACGAATGGTTTTAATTTTATGAAGTGAAGTGCAAAAAATGCTTTTGAAAAGTTTTTAAAATCTTGATTTTCTTAAATAATAAGAATGAAGTTGTAAAACTTGAAGCACAAAAATGAAATCCATAAGTACAATGAAAATTTTTGTGCTCTTTAAGTATATAATGGATATGACTGAAGTTGAAGCCTTGGATGTATTCAAACGAGGTTTGAAAGATCAAGTACGCCAAGAGATACTGGTAAAGAATCCATCCACAATGAATGAAACAATTTCTAAACAAATTTCAAATGCTAATGGAATCATACACAATTATCAAGCAATGTCAAGATTCAATTGACTTTATAGCAATAATGTTGAAAAAATTTTGACGTAGAGAAGGTTGTGCATCATCATGAGTGCTAGCATCAAGATTTGAAGGAAGATTTGGCGATGAATGATTTATTAGTTGTAAGAATTGCTTGCAAATTATAGAATGTTTCAAGTAGCAGGAGGATTTTATGAAAGTTGTCAATACCATCCATGCGGGAGTATGTGTTTTATTGCCAAGTATTTTCAAACTCAACCAATACCACAATGAGTACTGCCCATGCAGTGACAATCTTTCAACAACATAAAGTCCGTCCAATACAAAGAAGCTGATGAAGTAGTTTCAAGAAATGAATATCAACAATAAACTTGCTTCACAACCTTATTTGTTCCACAAAACAAAAATAACGAGATGAAAAGAATACAATGGTTGAAAGTCACAAAAGAAGCAATAAACAAATTTAATTTACTGTCATTGATAACATAGTGAAAGTACACAAGATGAAAGTCTGAATTGATCATGAAGCAAAAAGGCCACAAAACTCTAAGAAGAGGCGTTACGTGCAAGAGCTTTTTTTCAAATTGTGTTGCCTTGAAGTTCGGATACTTATCAGAGTTTCGTTTAGTGGCGGTTTCTAATTAAATTAGACCAAATTATGGCGATTTTTAAATAATTATGGTGGCCCTCGCCCGCCGCAAGTTAGTTTTTCAAGTGAAGGCTGCCGCCACCACGTGGCGGTAGCAAAATTAATTCGGCCAAAGGCTGCGGCCATTGCGGCAGCAGCCAAATTAATTGCAGTCGCAGGCTGCCGCCACCTCCGATATAGCCGAATGTGTTACAACCTTTTGATTTTCTCGTTACGGCTCGAGGAAAACTTTTACTTCGGCTCGAGGAAAAGTTCGCAGCCACCTCCGTTCTAGCCGAATGTGTTATGACCTTTTGATTTTTTCGTCCACCCTAATCATGTTACGGCCGCCATGCTAACCATACTCCGTCCTTCGGCTCGAGAAAAAGTTCGCAAGATGTGGTCTTGCTTGGCTTGCAATAGAAGAGACGAGTGACTGGATCCGTAGTGACGATGTGAGTGTGTATGAAACATGTACGAGATTCGATCAATACGAGCCACATCTTGCCGCTTCATTTTAGACAATGGGTGCATTCGTCGCTGCTCTATGGAAGAATTGTACGTGATATAGTTTTCTTCTTTCCGCTCGTTCACCACCTTTTGATTTGGATGAGTCGAGGAGTAGAATCTCAAACAGACTACAACTCGATCGAAATTGAAAAATGATCGGAGCTTAGATCTTGAAATAAAACCCTGGACATCAAAAAATCTTGACGCCGTGACATGCACTGAGCTGGTGTATCGTGAAATTTCCGCATGCAACGCAGATTACCTCAAGTTTCCTTTAGGTTGATTCAGCAAGTATCCCGATTACTTGCAAAGAGACTTCTACATTGTTGGTGAAAGCTACGCAGGTTGGTCTGTTTGTGAAATTTAGCCACTCATTCCCAACGCTCGATCATAAATCTTTCACTGGCCAAGCAATTTTGCCTATGCTCCGGATAGATTTGCATCGTATTTGAATGCTAGAGAAGATGCTTTCACTGGCCAAGCAAGTTTGCCTATGCCCCGGATGGATTTGCATCGTATTTGAATGCTAGAGAAGATGCTTTCACTGGTCCAGCGATGATTTGGATGAAGGAACCAAAGCGTCACAGATAGTAGTGGCGGTAGATTTTCAATGCAATGTAACCAAAACGCCACATGTGGCTGAAACTAAAAAAATAAATGGGTATCCAACCGTCATACCGCGGCAGTTTCAATATTAGTAAAGCTGGGGCAAAATGCCACACGTGGCATTTTGAAAATACACCTAAACGAAACACTGATACTTATATCAATATCAATGTATTGATGAAAGATGCCAGTGAAGTAATGATATTGTCAAACGGAAAAATTGAAGTAAAAAATTCACTATCATGAAGTGTAGAATTATCTATTGATATAAGTAAAAGATTGAATGATGAACAATTTCATTAACTCAATATGATATCATACTATAAATGTCATGGATCAAATAATATAATTCCAAGTAAGAAGAAAGGTGGTAAAAAGTAGTAACTGACAAATTTATAAAGATAGGATTAGATTTCAATTTAAGAATCAATATATTTTGTGGTGGATAAAACAAATTTTTTTCAAGATGGTGTATAAGTTTTGAGATTTATATAATATTTTTTTGGGTCCAAGGATAAAATTTACACATAGTTTTTTTGAACAATATTTTTATTTAGTATAAAGATGTTATTTCAAAAGATCTATTTGCATGATTAACATCAAAGAGCGTGTAGATTACAAGATTGAAATAATACTTGAAAACAAGCCAATTTGCATAGCTTCATATTATATAGCTTCAAACAAATTGCAACAATGCAAAGTTCAAGTGAATGACATATTGAGCAAAGTATGTATTTAATCAAATGTCTCACCTCATGGAACTCCAGTGCTATTTGTGAAGAAAAAAGATGTTAACATGTGATTTTACATCGATTATCAAAATTTGAATAAGCAAACAATGAATAACAAATATTTAATACATCATATGGATGACTGGTTTGACCAACTTCATGGAACAAATTCATCAAATTGGATCTAAGGAGAAGGTACAATCAATCTGAATTACAAATAAAGATATTCACAAGACTGTTTTTTGTATTAATTTTGATGAGTTTGAGTCATCAAATCTAAAGTGATGTCTTTTGATCACATTTAAAAAATCTTCTATATTTATGACATTGATGAATGATATGTTTTGCACTTATTTATATTATTTTTTTCTAGATGATATGTTGATATATAGAAAAACTTTGAGTGCTCACATACATCATTTAAACAAATAATTCAGGTTCGGAGAGAGAATTAATTTATGTCAAAGATTCAAAATCTGAGTTTTGCTAATTGAAGATAGATAATTTGGATCATAGAGTTACGCAGAATTAATCAAAGTGATGAGTGACAAGATAGAAGTTGTTTAGGAATGGACCACAAGTGAGTATCTAAGTTAAAAGTTTTCTAGATTTCATAGATTTTTTGTGTAACTTTGTGAAAAGTTTCACTTGTCTAGATCAAGACTTGAAAAATATGTCAGGAAAAGGCCAAAAATGAGGATAGGAAATAACTCTAGAGTCATGAAAGGTGTTTCATTAGACACATCTATTTTGATATGATACATTACTAATTAATCTATTCAGATGATTACTAATGTGTAAGTTTGAATAGTGAATGACATACTCTAGAAATGGACTGTAAGTGACATCTAGTTGTTATGTTTCTTGAAAGTTGATGGCATTAGAAAAAAAAATCATACAAAGGAACAAGAAATTTTAGCTTTTGTGTTGGCAAGAAAACAGTTGAAGAATTACCTCGATGAATAAAAAATTGTGATAGAGATCGATCATAAATCAATAATTTGTGTGAAAATTTATAAATATCTATCTAAACTACAAATTCAATGAGTAGAGTGATGTCAGGACTTTAACATGAAGATTGTGTATGTGGAGGTCAAGAAAAATTTTGCGGATTCTTTCATAGTCATGACATGTCTTGATCATGTTACAGAAGTGAAAATTCAAATCAAATGATGAGGCAAGATGACATATACCATAAAAAAGTATGAAAAAATCATGAAAGCTTACAAATTTTTTAGCTTGTAAGCTGAGAAGTCAATTAGTTTGAGTTTTGACGTTTTACAAGTAACGGATATGAATTTCAAAAAATCAAAAGGTATGATCAATGATATTAACAAAAAGTCATTATTCAGCCATTATAGACCATGTGAAAATGGAAAAAACTTTGGAAAGTATACAAAGAGTGTATTCTTGGACTAAAATACGTAAATATATGAAGATTTATGTGCAAAGTTGTGTAACTTATCAATAAAACAAGTCAAGTAATAAAAAACTAGCCAATTTATTTCGATCTATTTCCTTTTTGGAAGAATCATGGAAACATGTCACCATGGTATGTAAGTTATAAAAAAATTTGTTAAAAAATGCTTAAGATTTTGTTTTTTTATTAAATTTAGCAAATTTAGTGAATCTTTCCTTGAAAAAATATATTTAAAGAAATAAAATAATTTTTTGAAAATTAATTAAACTCCTTTTTAAATTAAGATTTTTTTAAATTTGACAAAAAGCATGAAATAAGATTCAATATTTATTTTTAGAAATATGATTTTTGATGAAATTGGTTGCATTATAATTTCATTTCATGGATGAATAGATTTTGAATTGCATTTAAAATATTGTATGTGTATTTAATGCTTGGTTTTGTTTATTCAAAAATTTTGTTAGCATATAATAAATATGAAAAAACTTTAACTATTTAATAAATTTACGTTGAAATTAAAAAATGTCATATATATATATATATATCTCTTTAAATGTTAGAGCTTCAATAACAACTTTATAATTCACTAACAGATTAAAATATCTATATATTTGTTAAGAATTTACATTTAAGCTATAATATTTATTTACAAAGAAATATTATATTCTATGTATCAAAATGAAACTTTTCAATGAGATGAATTGTCTATGAATATATTTTTTATGCAAATACATTCAAAAAAATACTACTAGTAATCAAACCAAGTACATGCATCAAATCAAGATTATGCATGATTGTTAAATCTCCTAAGGATGCTATTCACTCTGTGTACTGTGGGGAATTGTGTGGACTCCTTGCTCTTTTCATTGATTGTTCGTATTTTTGGGCTTTATCATAAACTCTTATAATCCTGCAAATTGAGAACTTATGCTTGAGGGCTAAAAATTCAAAATATCTTTTCTTACAACTGACAAAGTGTTCAATAAATATTTTCTCTTACAATTGACAAGTGTTCAGCAATTGTATAAAAAATTAATTGATGAGATCCCTGCCTGACAAAATATTTAACTGGTACCCAACATGTATCATTTTACTCTATGGAACTCCAAAGAGTTAATATTGCGAGCTACTGCGTGGGGGAGTGACTGCCGTTATCGAGCTATAGTTGGCGGCTAGTTTGTTTGTACTCCCTAGCAATATCAAAATCTTTGTTCAGCATTATCATTGAAACGGTGACCAAAGAACTTGCTGAATTGACTTCTCGACATATGATAGCCAACACAAAGTCTATACACCGGAAACACAACATCCTTCTGAAGTGAGTGTGTCAAAGTGTGCTCAAACCAGGACCGCACGGTCATTGTTACACATATCGATATTAGCTCCCATTCTTTTGAAAACCCGAGCAGCATAACGCTGCTCTTCCTCGAAGTACAATTTGCTCACGAGGACCATTAGCTGCTCCAAGGCCGAAAATGATTGTAATAATCTGCAAACCGGGAGTGGGCATGTACAGCCGACGCTATGGCAGCAGTGTCCGAGGCCATGGTGATTATAAATTTCTTTAAAAAATCTCATGTTATCACAAGAAAAGAATGCATCTCTATCGCCGCGGAATGCAATACAGAAAGTTTCTGGAAGTGACTGAAAATTTGGCATGCTTTTAACCCTTTGCTGTGATATTTGTAATTAAGCGCTATAATCATCACCTTTTCTCTATCGCAGATGAAGTGGAAATTGCTGCGAGAAAATTGGAACTCAATGCGACAAATGCTCAGAAAGACAGTAAATTTAACTTTTTCAGTATGATCTAGTGCAATGGTCGTGGGATAAATTGATAGTTAATTATTTCTGTACAGGAGGGATCCTTCAAGTAATTTTACCATTTACTGGTTGTCATTTTAGTCATAAAATTAAATGGCGATTGATTGGGTCGATTTTTTTTCTTTCCCAACAATTTGATATTCTTAGTGTATGTTTTTCAGTCTTCTTTTTCTTCCGCTATTAAGTGTGCCAATTTTCTATTCTCACAGTTGTATATTCTCTCTAGGTTGTCTGGTGATTGTGTGTTTGTGTTGCACTGTCTAGATGTTTTTCACTAATTTGTTCCGTTCGATGTTAATTCTTTGTAATACTGTTCATAAGAGTGTTTGATATGTGACAACGTTTCCTCCACTACGCCAACGGTCATTTTCAGCAGTCACATATCCGTTGACAGGGAACACGTTTATATTGTTCGTTGAGCTATACTATGTGCCGTTATGTACATAACTGGACAGGTCAAGAAATTCAAATTTGTAATACTCTTCCAAGTGAAGCATTCATCTCGCTGAATCAGGAGGACACTACCTTCGAGACAAGTACATTCCAACTTCAGATCGTACAAAGAGCGAAAGTCCTTTCATAAAAAATACACGCGACATAACGCTTGAACCTCCGAATCAAAAGAAATCGAAACCTCCGAACCTTGTGATGCACGCACCAGTGCTGGTAATTTACTACTATATTTCATCGAATTCATAATCAATTATCCTCTTTACAATACAGAAAAATAAGGCCCAACCTATATCATTATTTCAAATGATGCAGCTCAAGTTGGTAGCAGCAAGAATTGCAAGGACGCTCTCTTGCGTCAAGTTGCAGCTTATTACGAAAAATGTAACACCCCTATGAGTGACCATACGCGACTGTTAAATATCGTTAGTTCCCTGCCACTCGATCTAAATTCGAAACTGGGTTCCTCATCTTGTTCATCGCTGGATGAATCTGTCGTGGGTGCTCCCACTATTAAGTAGTCCAGCGAGAAGGCTACAGGAGTGTTCAAGTCTTTCATCTATCCAATTTACAAAAGTCTTCAAGCTTTTAGTCCCATAGGTTGCACGGCGGGAGCTGACTGCTGCTGCTGAGTGTTCTGTTGATAGTTCAGAGGCCGTCGGAAAAGCATGATGTGAGGCTCAGGGCGATGGATGGCGTAGTGGACCCAACCCCTAGACTGCTGTACTCCGATTCCTCGCCATTCCGTCTGCCGTAACGCGGTCGGCGTTAGCACAGCATAAGCTTGAAAATAAACCAAATTTACAAGATCGGGCCGGTACACAAACAGCTTATACGAAGTCAGAACAAAAACCGCCACACGGAAATAGAGCGTAATTCAAGTAGACACGACTAATCTTCAGAACGTCTCACCTCAGATAGAAGGCGGTCCTTGGGCAGGAGTTGGGCAACCTCAGGTGGCAAAACAACATGTCTGTGAGAGAGGGATAAACGAGTCAGTGGCAAGGTGGATATGGTGACAAGCATATGGAACGGGATCCGTTCACATCTAGAAACCATGCATTGACGCAATACAGACAGCAGAGAGGAGAGATAGAATCGGTAGAATGAATAGAGCAGCTTACACCGTTTCAAAGCACGCACCTCTTCACGCCTAGGAGGAATCACAATGAGATAGGAAGGAAAAGGCAACAAATCACGCTACGCTGAACGGAAATAGTTTGAGAGAACGGTAACTGGCATACCTGTACTCGTAGGTGTCATCGAAATATTTCTCGGAATACTGAATGGAAGGCATCCTTAGGTAGGGTATTCAGGTACCGAGTTGGATCCTGAAAGTGATACCACAAAGGCGTGAGCACGAACGGAACTGGACACCACTGAAAACAATTTGGAGGCGTAGCAGTTTAGACTCGCTGTGTGTATGCAAGAAGTTTGCGAACGCTACACCTGAGACAAGCTCATCCAACAGATCCAGAACAAACGCGCGCTGGTCATTCAACGACTCAAATCGGGCCATCCTTGGTGCACCCTTGAGAGACTCGGAATACGTGCTCGTAAATCACAAACCTCCAAACGTTAAGCGCCTGGATCGCACCACACAATCCTCAATCAATTGAGCTCAAGAGTCGGCCAACTCAGAGCCTTCAAGCTTCCGCAAGTTCCTCGAGAGAGGCAGAGTGCAGAAATTCGTGACAATGTCTAAAGCGCGGGGCGGAAATGAGGCAGGCGTCGTTGAGCAGGAGAGGGCGTGGCCAATTAAAGCTGACGAGGAAGAAAGCTGCGAGGGGAGGGGAGGGAAGGAGAGGGAAGATGATGCGCAATGCAGAGGAGGTAGGACTAAGCAAGTGGGACCCCGACGAACAAGAATCCGACTAGTCGGCAACAACACGTTGCGATGAGCGTTTGAAAAGTTTCGAAATAGGACGAGGACTGCGCAGCAACGGTCGGATACTACTGAGCCGGACTCTGCCGGCGCCGGACGATCTGAACGACGATCGATTCTTTCATAACGCAGCGCGAGAACTGGCCGTCGTTCCTGTGTCGCTCCCGCGTCCGGAGTTCCGTCGACTGCGCGGCTCGGGTGGGAAGCACTTCACCCGGTCGTCTTCAGTGGCCAGACACCGCGACCGCGTCGTCGTCTGCGGATTCGGCCTTGTGCCTGATGACTGCGACTGCGACTGCGACGGGGACGAGGGGCGACTTGCTAGAACTCCGAGCGGTATCTCGAAGCGATGCAGCAGCAGAGTAGCTCGGTTTGACATTCCGGCAGAAGAACGATGGACCGCGAACGGTCGGTGCCCGGAAGGTTTGAATGGAGCCACCGTTTATAGTTTCCCTCCTCTTTCTCTGACAGACCCGTTATGAAAGGGCGGGAAACAAGTGGGTGCACCACGTGGTGCATATCGTACCGTCAAGTAAGCGAGGTCTAGGTTGCCTCTTTAGAGAGATGTTGTGTACTCACGTGGCTAGTGGTCATACCCGTTTAGGAACAAATGCCCAACATGCGTCAGGCAAGGCTTGGTGGCCACCAACTGTAGTGCCTGAATTATTTTTACTTTCCTGTGTGCATTTTTTTATAAGCCTTGGGAAAGATTACATTCAATTATTGTCACGATTTTAGACGGCCCACCTACAAAAATATCCAGCGATGACATTCATTCTCTACTGTTGTGTTTACTTTGAAGATATAACCATCCAACTCGAAAACATGTTGCATACTATACCATGTGTTACCATCTCTTACCTTTTGCGTGAGCATGATAAAATTTTCAATTCATCTTGATGGATAATGCTTATTGTTCTGTTTTCAAAGAACATTTCCCTATTTTATAACAGCTGTTTAAAATATTTTTTTCATATTAAGAAAATGGATAGTAAGAATTTCACGTTCATTGTGAAATCATGGAAACTAATTATATCAACCAAGTGACTTGCATCTGCAAGGCCAATTAAATCTTACGAAGATAGCAGTTCGATTGGTGTTCTCACTAAACGCATCCAACTCATGTTCATATCCAAATGAAGATAGTATCTTCGATTGGTAATGACGTAAAGTGCAACCCAACGGACCTCCATCGTTCATTTGCCGGAACCAAGTAAACCCATTTGCAGACACCTTAACTCCTATCATACAACATTCAAGATCTACCATCTCATTAGACGCAACTAGTAGACATGCATGACCAGTTCCAGCTCGAACTGAAATCAGTTGGCCTACAACATACATGAGCAAAATACCCAACCAAGAAACACAATAATGCATAGATATTTGATTAAGTATTATACCTATAAATAAATTATTAGTGATGAACCAGTCGGGCGCCTAAACTAACTAAATCAGCTTAATTTAGTGGCAATCCATAAAATTGTAAGTGGTCGAGATGGCTAAGCCCCAGTACGTAAGGAAGAAGCATATGACGCAACATTCCATACGGCGGAAAAATGCATTGAAGAACCAGAACTTTACTACTCTTCCGTCAGAGAGTCCACAGCAAGCTATAAGAGAGGATTCGTTCTAGTACACTACTTATAAACCAACTGGAAGTAGTCTCGCAACCCAGGATGTAGAAATCTAGGTTATTTCAGTTACATATTGCATTTATATATTACAAAAATTAGGTAACTGTTATAGGATGTGACCAGGATGTTACCGTTTACATCCATACTTACCTAGTTTCCCTAGGATCTGTATATTCTGACCTAACAATCTCACCAAGATTATTAATACTTCGTGTAGTTTGCCAATATCACTAGCCGAAAGAAGCTTCAATCCGAAATGGCATACATCATCATGCTTCATGGGAGGTCATTTGCACGATTTGAAGCAACATAATACCTCCCACTCCTCTCAATAACCAACCACGACTTTCACTCATAAGTGAAGGGTACCATAAGAAGTCGCACTTGTGAAATCTAGTTTAGATGATTTAGGCGCCGCGGTATATGGTAGCCTATATTGATCAGGCCAGATGACGAGGGATATGACCTAATGCAATCATTTCTCATGTAAAACCACATATTATGACATGTATGTAGTATTGGAGTCACAAAGAATTTTCTCGAGTCATGACCATATTGACTTTCAAGGTCCAAAGGTATGCCCGTAATATATATAAAATATTATACATACAAGCATTCTTCAAGTAGTTTTTCACAAATAAAAGTTTGAATTTATATAAAATCATTTCGTTATAATTTCAAGACAATAAATTGTCTATATTCCAACATTTCTCATCTACCACTCCTGTCTAAATCTTCATTGCTGTCTTGTTAGGATGTGGACATGATTCTTGTCTAAATCTAACAAAATTAAAATATATATCAAATTTTTTAATAAAAATCATCATCATCATTACAAATAAATTCTAGATCTTTCAAAGTCAATTCATTGGCCAGTATCATATTGAATTTTTCATCTTCTTCAAGTGCTATATTAGATAAATCTCTTGCTCTAGTGTTAACAATGAAGAGTATGTTGAATTTGGTTTTGAATGTAAGTTAAAACTTGATCTAACAATTCCTGCGTTCGATTGACATGTGATTACAAATTTTTGTTTTTGATAATGAAAAGTGTGAAAAGAATTTTTCCACTACGGCATTATGAGGAGCAATAAAAATTATTTTTTGCAAAGACAAGTAAAGCATTTGTACCAACAAAAGATTATCAAAAATTCATTGTAGAGTCTTTGTTTGGACTGTTTGTGAAAGCTTCACTCCAATTGATGTATTCGTTCAAATTCACCTTCTAAATTCAAAACCCTCATACTTGGCAAGATTTGCAATAACTTTTTAACAGTTATTGCATGTATTCTTTCTAGAGATGACGATCAATTAATATTGAGAATTCAAAAAAAAACTACAAAATAAATAGGATGATTAAATTTAGAAGCTCTTCTTTGAATGATCTTGATCATGTGAGCTTTGGAATTGTTGCAGTTCTCGGTAATGTGAGTATTTTTCATAATTATATAGAATATGATGAGTTTGGCATAAATCTTATCTAATGTGGTTAAACTCTGCTCAAGACGAGTTATACTATCAGCTATGAGATCAATAAGTTTACGAATTTCCTTGTTAATTGCAAAATGATAATCATAATCCAACAACTTAAAAATAACTTTTTTGATGGGAGTCTCATTAGCTAACTTTGATTTTTTTACGCAATGTTAAAATACTTTGTGGTAAAATGCAACGCTAAGACATACAAGTACAGCTGAATAGCATCGTATTTTACAAAAACTAGACAGAAACTTACTAATGTTGTTATCTCCATCCAAAGTGTTGAAATGTATTGTCCAATAGTGAGAACTTTTAAAAAATTAATCAACTTGCAGTTTTTTTGAAAACCTTCTTCATAGTATCATGATATAATATCAATTCAATACTATCACGAAGGATGTTAATCTCATCTTGCGTGATAGGATTGAATTGATGAAAAGCACATCGTAAGGAAACAATATTTGGATTTGAGGTTGCAAGGTTATTTCTTAATCTTATTATAGTAGTTGGGCTATTAGATACAAAAGCAATAACCGATGTTAATGAAAGAAGACTTTTGTTAGTTGACATTATCAATTGTTGCTCAAATGCATTTGCTGTTGATCATTCTGTAAAATGCACAAAGTCCAAGATTCATTGTTTTACACTCGTAATATCCATCACAGCGTATATCAAATAATTGAAAATGTACTCCCGTTCGTTCAAAGTTATTGTCATATCGCAAACATTCTTCAACTGTTCTCCTAACTCCAATAGATATTTGGTATAACGTTTTTGTAACGGTCTGTATGAGACCACTCTCTTTGAAGGAAGAGTGTAGCTGGGATTGATTTCACGAATGAACATGCCAATTTTTTTTTACAACATACATTGAAATAACTGTTGGAGGTGAGCATAAAATCTACAAATCTCAAATGATAACTCTCTTGAATGTATACACTCAGTGGAGTACTAAAGTATTTAGGCAACCGTTATCAATATTGTCATAATGAAATCATTTGCTTTGATTCAAAAACTAATTGCAATGTGATTGAAAATTGTGTTGAAATATGATACTCTTTGAAAATTGTTCTACAATGCGCATAGATTCAACTCTAATATATTATGTGTACTATCAAGCTCCGCATTTTTTTCTCCATCCACGTGGTATTTCTCTTCTCTGTACTAAGTGATTGTGAATCCATCACTATTACGTTCTCAATTTTTGGTTTCAGAATATGAAGTTGAGTAAATAGAAATGGATCCATCGATATCTTAGAAACTGCACACAAAAGATCATGAATATATTGAATAAAACTCAGAATAGTAGCGTTAGTCATACACCAAAGCAATAACTTCACTTAGAACACAAATATTCACATTGTTGAAAGAAAAAATAGAATAAACATGTAAAACTGAAAGAATAAATAAGTATAAAAATACAAACTAATAAGTATTGAATAGTAAAGAGAAAGCCAATGTAGTCACAAAAGAGAGATATAAAGAAAATAGACTATACTAAAGAATTAGAAATTACAAACGGTGAATTAAACCAAAGAACTGTGGAGAGTGCGCTTGCAAATAGATGTGTTGTGGCGAAAGATTTATCTCCATTGTGGTCAATTGGACTATAAATGACCATGAAATTTCAAACTCTTGTGGCGCAAGGGAAACGTTGATCGGTCAATGTCGAATAGTACATGAACATGAAAATCCTACGAGACATGCTCGACGAGAGAAGATTTGACAATGCACTTAGCTTTTGTGTGTCAGAGAAACGTGTTAGATAGTAGTGTGGCCGTAGAGAGGGAGGACGACATCCTTCATAATGATGTGAAACAATGAACGCAAAAATGTGTGTCATTGCAATAATTAGAATATAAGAATGGTTATTTTTTTTCTTGCCAAGAGAAAACTGCATTTGATTTACTCTTCTCGTTATTGACGTAATATAGATTGATGCTTCAGTTCATGCCCTCCTGGCTCTACTATATGACGGATTAAAGACGAAAGAGCATGCGGAGAGGTTTTTTTTTCTCTAATATCAAGAGAATATGTAGAACCTACTAACAACACATTAGTGAAAATCAATTGTATAATTTACAAACGGTTTATGTTAGATCTTGGAATTCTAGAACGGATGTAGAACAAATTTTCAATCTTGAAGCCGCAAAACAGAAAGTATCAAACACATATTCAATCTTGAAACTCTCACTGAAGAATGTATTAAACATATCTCCAATCTTGAAACCGTGAAAAGGTGAACGTATCAAACACATGTCCAACCTTGACACTGTGAAAAGGAAAACATACAGAGCAGATCTTCAATCTTGAAACTTTAGAAACAGAATATAGCAAACATATGAAGAATTGCACATGA